CTTACAAACATTTTCGTATGCTGTTTGTGAAGTATGTTAACACCAGTTATATTTCCAATGAGTGCCCCGAATTAGGTAATCTACCTTCTTAGTTTAACAATGCTTTTCGTGTAATGATAAATTATGTCAATTTCAACTTTAAAAATTTACTTAGTTGATAGTAATTCTATCCATTGATAATTACGCAGGTAAAAATAAACAAATATATCTATAATATAAAAATGAATCGCAAAATGTGTTGGTAAGCGCATAACTCAACAACGTCTGGACCAATTTGGCCGATTCTTTTTTTATAATATTCCTTGAAGTACGAGGATGGTTCTTACGGAGAGAAACATTAAAAAAATATGAGTAAAAAAGTCTAAAAACAACACTTCTATATTCCCATACAAAATATTCGTAATAATTCGTCAATTAACTTTAATACATATAAAAGTCAGTGGAGTGGAGGGGTTCCGGGAAGATAAATTTTTATTTTTTGACGTAATGTATTTGTTGTCTTATTAACTTTCTTTTTTTTATCTTACTAGCTAGACCGGTGTCCCGAATAGCAGAATAAGTATTTAATAAAAATAAAGAATCGACTTTTAGGCGGTACGATGTTCGCCAGGCCAGCTAGTATTATATAGATTCATATACAATTTTATTTATCATAATAGTTTAATTTAAATTCTTTGTAGCAGTTTACAAAATATATTAGACACCCGCCAGTTGATTAATGTTGCAGATGCATTAAATACAACAAAACCCAAGACTATGTATTGATATATTTAACTTTAAATGAATACTATAGTAACTTAAATTATAAAATATAAATTGATATTTAATAAAACCAACTATTTGTATTGTTTCATACCGAAACTGCGGAATGTGTTATAATTTATTTATTCCATATTTATATCTATAAACTCTAGAAGATATAAATTTCCCTAAGAATATAACCTTATATAAATTCACTGAAAAGATAAATTAAGAAGATTTCTCTTACAGATAAAATATTATAGTTAAATTATTTAAAAATAAGTATTAAACTTTTCGAATGTCTGTAGTTTTGATCACTTGAACCAATGTGCTAACATAACGTAATATATGATCTCAGATCTAATGCGATAAACGATTGACGCCGTTATATAATTTTACTAATTACAAACATTCTTGACAGATATAAAGTTTATATGTATTGCATATTAAGCCGTAAATCAAGGTAATATGTCAAAGTTGTTGCTTGCGTGGAAAGTAACTTCGGATATGCACTTTTAGGGAAGTATTGGTCGTGAATAAATTGCCGTAGAGCAGGTTAATCATACCGGTAAGGAGTGGTCGAGTTTCCATAATAACGAGTTAGAACCGCCATAAAGTGTAGCCAGGCTGTCTGCCGCGCCTACCGCCATTAGTGTACCAGAAAGCGTTCATTTGCAAACCCTTCAAGATTCCGTAACTCATATTAGAAAGTTGCAATATATAGTCTAATACTTTAGTTATTTAGAGCTTGACATGATAGGAAATTATTAATAATATGCATCGTGCTAGAATATCTGCATCTGACTTCTCCATAATATGACATCGGATTACGATGCGGTCTATGGAACCGTATAGTACACACAAAATAATCAAAAATATTGGTGCACAGGATTCGAAGGCACAATCAAAGCAAATATGAATGGAGAATAGAGGACTATAAAATGGGATTGAGGCCAAACGTTTGTTCAGTTCTGTAGTAAATAAATTTTGAATATTTTAATATTGACTAGGCTAACAAATCAACTGCACTACAAACTTTTTGGCCTGGACCACAGATTTTTGTATCTGTTTCGCAAGCCTTTGTTTTTTCTAATAGGCAAGTACCCGACGCACCCTGTCGACGTTTACGTCGGCCTAAGGTATGCCGGTTTCCTCACGGTGTTTTCGTTGACCGTTCGAGCGAGTGTTAAATGCGCACAAAGACTGAAAGTCCAGTGGTGCACGGCTGGGGTTCGAACCTACGACCTCAGGGATGATAGTCGCTGAAGCCACAAGGACAATACTAATATAATTATAATATAATAAATTATAATAATATTTATTTTATATTACCCATAAATGCGTCGGGTTTAGTGCAATGTTGCAGTACATACAAATTATTTTATGACCTATTTATGACGGTATCTGTAAAAAAATATTTCCTGATCTAAATATAAACTGTCCCTCGCCACGGTAAACAGAGTATAAAAGAATTACACGAATTATTGTAAGGCCATTTAGACAACAGTAAATATTGAAAGATAAAAAATGCAGTGGTAATCATGGCGTCTTTATGCTTAAACCGCTCAAGCGTTATTTACAATATTTGATATAGATATTCAAAAAAAATATTCCTTACTTTGACTGGAATATTCCATGTTTAATATTGAAACCTATGAGACTAAATCAGGCCTCTGGCGTTTTGGGAGGGGAGGGGGCGGGGTAAAAGATTAGAATTATAAAAAATACAAATTGCTTATTACGCTGCGAAGTGATATATAAGATATATCTTATATAAGAAGTCTGTGTCGTTGACCGCTAAGGAAGTACCGATTCTTATTGAAAAAAATATTTGTATGTGTTCTATTTATTATATAGTCTACTAGTGGAGCCCACAGACGTTGTCCTGCATGATATTTAAAGCGATTAGGATATTAAGCAAAGTATGAAAGTACCGACTGCAGTGCCATCTGCCGCGCTGATTTGTGAATCTAAACCATTCCCAGATCCCCTTGAACACACACAAAAAATTTCATCAAAATCGGTCCAGTCGTTTGAGAGAAGTTCAGTGACATACACACTCACAGAAGAATTATATATATAAAGATATACACACGCCACGACCCAATTAACGTGAGTTAGGCCACTAGGTACGTAGTTAGTATATACATCATCTGAGTTCTCCTTAATCTATATTATGTATATATTGAAAAATCATCGAATATATTTAAGGACTTGAATTTTTTTTGTATAGTGTCATGTTCCCGCTAACATTCATACGCATGTGTATTGGATTAGGGACATGTATGGTATCTATACCAATCAATAATGGAAATTTTGGTTGTTAATGGTTAAGCGTGCAATTTTCGACCCTAACGTCGTGTATTTAAATCTATAGATTCTCCTTTGCAATTTACATTCTCGTACCGTCAAGGAAAACATAGTGAAATAATTGTGAATCTATAAAACGGACATAGAAATAGACTTAATAGAAAATATTGGAAATTGTAATGACCCATATTTCATACTTAATCTCATTTCTTATCATAGCCTGTTATCAAATACGTAATATTTGTTTACATATTTTAATCTTCATTCTTGCATTATAACTTTTTTAAACTAACTTAATTTTATATGTTTTAAATTCACACGATTTTAAAAATTCAAAGTGGCAAATAGATTAAGGCTGCAATCAAATTCAAAATTAACTAAGCAACGAAAGACTGGAGTATTTAACAACATATTTTGTTTAAAAACAATATAAATTCTTTGCTAAATTGTTGAATTATGTGACGCAGATTTCCATATAAATTTGTAAAATAATGATGGTGACAATTCAAAAAGATGTTATAACAATTCGTTATGTACTAGAGAAATTGTTTTTGTAGTAATTAATAAGTAATATATGTAGCATTAAATACTTGTTGAGTTATTTAACTCATACAATATTCATTTATTTTGACGAACTTGAAGTTTTCATATCTTGTCTATTTTTTTCGTGCATTTTTTCTATTTAAAATTATATTATTAGGTCCTTATGAAGGTATCTAATTAAAATTATTATTTTTTTATCGTGACATTTATTTATGTTTTTCTATACAACTCGACATATTTTTGTAGAAAAATATAAATAAATGCCAAAAATATAAGCTAATTAAAAATGTAAACAATACTTACATGTATCAGGTTTATCCAACAACGAAGTCCATTCCGATGCAACCCTAGATCGCTTGCTATATGTACTACTATCGTATGATGTACTAGCTAAAATCACCTTATCAATAATATAATTCATCATTTTACACAGAAGCCTCTTCGCTTTGCGTTTTATCCCGACAAAGACGCATTCCGAACTAAACAGTATCAAGGACCATTAATTGTAATAATTTAATGATGCGCATACGTACTTAGTGATAACTATAGGGCATTATTAGATAGTGAACTAGTGGAAAAGTACCTTTGCCGGTGTAAACAAATTTGCAATTTTAATATTTAATAGGTTCACTCCTTACAACGAGATAACGAAAGTATGAATGGTTGAAAAAATCGCTGCCATGAATAGATGAATTTTAAATTACATTTATATTGTATAACGGATAAAAAATTTGTTGACAAGGAGGTGAAACCTTGTAAATTGGGTTCGATATGAAACTTTGGAAGACGGAAAATATGTTGACTGCCGCACAATCTTTTGTTGACATTTTTATGGCTTCTATGCTCTCTCCCCACCCCCACAGCTGTAGCCAAGAGTCATAGGGCTGTATACCATGAGCATTTACTTTAGTTAGTAGTTATGGTTTGTGTAACGGTATAAAAAAATTACAAAAAAGAGGAAAATGAAAGGTTCTTGACCCACCCGCTGGTTCCAAATCTAAACGAAACTTTTTCTCTTGATTTTCTTATAATACCTATACAATACATATTAAATAAAACTCCACTTAGATAGCTTCAGTCATCATTTTTTCAGAGGAGACCATTTAATATTTTTTTACAAAACAATTAAAGCTACTATTTATTTTTAGTTTAGCTACCGACTTGTAGAATTTATCGTATCTAGTTTCATAATAAATCAAATAATATGCCAAAATTCTGATTACTTGTCCGTTATAATAGAAAATTGATCATAAATCATAAATTCAGCCTACAATTTGCAGTGAAACCATCGGTACCTATAATTTATTAACGAAGCGAATATTCGTGAAAGTGGTTTAACAAGATTGGCCAATTTATTGTTTAAACATATTTCTTGGCTTACTATGAAAATTCAGTACAAGAGAACCATGAGAGGGTTTCTTTTGATAGTTGTATTAATCATAGCAAAGAAATGTTTTGCAGAACATTTAAATACAGACTTAATTTTAGATCTGAGAAACGATTTTGGGAAACGGTATTCGTTGGTATTTTTGGATTGTAATAATGAAGGTATTTGAATACATTATTGTTTAATTAAACATAAGTATATGGAGAGTAAATTGCTTATTGAAAAGTGAAGTACCGTATATCTATTTCCTTGATATTTTTTTAATAAAAAAAGTAATTTTTTTCCTAATAATGTCTTAAAATCCATATCCAAAAGTAGTTCCATAAATACTACACTACTACAGGTTCTTGATCTTCATGAAGTCAAGAACCAGAATGACCTTGACACTTCAGTGGTGTGTAGCAACTTGGTGATCCGCCTTCTGTGTCTGACACTCTTTCCGCTAAGTTCTGCGAGCCAAAATGTGTATATTCGGAACGAGAAACTTCCACATCTGGCTTTCACAGTACAGCGGTACCCGTACCGAGTACGGTGACAGGGGGGCAAGGCCCGCTTTGCATTATATGTAGTTTTTTCCTTGTGCCTGACACACGTCGTTCATTTTGGAATGAAAATGCCGCCTTCCTTCACCGCTCGTACGGTTACCATTATTAGTCCACAGCTGGGTTTCACGACATTTAAGTTAAGAATCAAGTACATTGGGCTAACACTTGTGCTGATCAATTAAAAAAATAAAGTCTTTAATTTAAACGTAACATAGGTACGTAACATCAATCTTTCAGATGAACTACGTAAAATGAGTTTGGACATTACTAAGAAAACGGACAAACCAATAATGGTACAATTTATGAACAATAAAATGAACAATGTCAAACAAAATATAATGTTTATTGCGGATGTCGGATGTTCAAATATAAAACAATCTTTCATCACGGTAAGTGTTAAAATAAATTGCATATAAAATATCGTTTCCCTACTACGTTTTACCTAACTTAAATAAATTAAAGATATTATTATTTAACAAACAATAAACTTGTTCACAAAGAAAATAAATCAGTGGCGCTACAACCTTTTTCAGGTCTAGGCCTCAGATTTCTGAATTTGTTTCATGATCACTTGTCAACCTAATAGGCAAGTACGTGATCAGGCACGGGGCCTGACACACGCCGTCGACTTTTTGTGTCTAAGGCAAAATATAATAAATAAATATAATGTTAGAATATTATATATTTCATATCGTAATCGGCCAAAGTAGTAGTACTTACAAGTTGTTTGTATTAAGGATGAAGCGAAAAAAATCTTTCGACCGCCATTCAAATGGATATTTCTAAATAAGCAACAATTAAATCAAAGCGATTCGGTTCTTTTTGAATCTGGAAACGTTCATCTAGATGAAGACGTTGTTATGGTAACTAAAAGGAAAGATATATATCAAATCAGCTTTGGTAAGTTTATATGTCCATTTACTTGCAAAAATAATAATTTAAGCGATTTAATTTTAGTTCTTTTCACCTTCCTTTAAAATAAAGTTTCACTCGTAAAGTTACGAAACTCACCCATAATCTATGACATTGTTAGAGACCAAACCACATTAAAAAGAACTATTACTAAAGTACTGTTAAACTAGACAAATGTTTATTTATAATACTAAGGGTCTGTTTCACAATGTATGGATAAAGTACCAAATAGCTATGCAACAGATAAATTGTGTGCTATTTGACACTTCATCGGACTCATAACTTATGATGGACTTTATGTGACGAATAGCGCTATCTGACAGTCGTGAAACGCAACAATAGTGTTTATCCTACCAATAAGTAATAAATAGATAATTTGGAACTTATGTAGAACTTATCCGTACATTGTGAAACAGACCCTAATTCTTATGTATCATCGCAGGAATTGTCATAATTACAGAGTTAATTAATTTACAGTTTACAAAATCTCCAACAAGTCAAACTGGAAAATTGAGCGATTCGGAGAATGGAGCGCTAATTTCGGTTTAATAAAAAACAAAGAATGGGTAGATGTTACATCTCTACGACGAAAAAATTTAGGATTAAATGCTATTAATGTGTGTTTTGTGCTAACAGACAGCGACAGTATTCATCATCTAACGGATGGAAAGTTAGTAACATTTGTGTATTCACTACATGTCGTGGGCATAGTTCGGTAATCTAAAAGTAAATTAATTTAGAAAAAAAAACATGTTTTACAATGGATATATCAGTTTGCATAACGCTTCTTTAACGAATACGGGAATTCGTGAAATTATGGAACAAGATGTAAACGAGATGGTCACTTTAAATAAAGTGATAACCGCCACCCGTGGACACCTGCAACGGCCGATGGCTTACAGGTGTACCAGGGGATCACGATAGGCTCTAAGTTATGTGTATTTTATTGAAGTATTATGAAATTCCAGTGTATGCAGACAAATTGGTTTGTGTTTCAATGATCATTGTTACGGTAAGTCTTCTCTGTCATAAGTCTTCTACACCAATCTGACACAATTTTTGAGGTTATACTCCTTTTGGCGCGATAGGGAAAAATGATGAGAGTAAATTTTGACGATGCGCGCGCACACCGTCACAAAAAACCGACATCCTGAAGTTAGCTATAGACAACGTTTTAGATTTTTTCAAGTTATACTTCTTTTGGCGTGTTAGGGAAAAATGATGAGGGTAATTTTTTCCTATTGTTAGAGTAGTTTTTTCTACAAACGAAAGAAGGCGAAAGGTAACATGTTTGAAAAGATTTTTATGTTGGAAACTACTTACTTGGTTTTGAAGACTAGCTATTTAAAGAACATAAAATTTCTTTAATAAAATGACTATTTTTCGTATTTTCGCAAATTCACAAATAGCATTGCAACACTTCAGTGCATTTAGATTTCAAATGATCGCAATCATAAGGTTATTTCCCTACTTTTTATACAACAATCTATAAATATCTCTGTTTTGTAGTGTTCAATGTTTATATCAGTGGCGGATGTATTAGCAGGCTGAGTAGGCCTAACCTAGGGCGGCAAATTTGGGATACTATTTTTTTTTGTTACCTCATATAAACCAAAAAGATTTCTGCATGACAGTTTTCTGATGTTTTACAGATACAATGCAACAGAACATGCAACAAATTTGCCCATGACTTTCCCTTCTAACTTGTCATTGTACATTCGGTGTTGCAAACTTCAATATTCTAGAGTAAACAGCTAGTTCGCCGGCCCTCAACCAGTGACCTCTGCGCTCTCAGCTCACACTTTGTACGAGTGAAAAAATTGCATAAAATGTGTTTCCCTCTTCCCCCTATCAACCCATACATATCATTCCTATTGCTGGTTGGAGGCTGCGAACTGGATGGTTTGTGTATAAATTTGTGCTCAAAAATCAGACCCAAAAACTATTTTTCGTGCAATTTCAACGAATTTCAGGCTTGGGCCCCACATTGGGAAACACTGATCTAGACGGTCATTCGCCCTAGGTAGAATGTTTATATTCTATCCTTATAGGGAGATAAAACATTTCATTAGATATATTGGCATAATAAACCTGTTTCAGGAATGATCACATTGATACAATTACCAAAGTTAACTATCCAACTATAAATCATCTATTGGATTATTTAAATGCCAGCAAGAATTACATATTTACTGATACATGGGGATATAAAAATAATAATTCGTGGAATGGTATGACTGGATACATGGTGAGAGGCGAAGTTGATATCGGAGGTAAAGAACTAATACCGATAGAAGAATTAGGTTACTTGAACTATAGGTTTCAATAAAAATAAATTGGCAAATTTCTTTGGGTGCACAGAATCCATTCTTGTACATGTAGCCACTGTACATGTTACCAAGTCATGTACAGTTATGAATAAAGCTTTACATTGCATCATGACATCATTAAAGAGCAGTCTTGGCCTAGTGGCTTCAGTGCACATCTAACACTCGCTCGTATCATGAAGGAAAACATCGTAAGGAAACTTAAAAAAAGTCAATGGCATGTCAGGCACAGAAGGCAACAAATGATCGCGAAACCTAGACAAACCCTTGAAATCCTAGACCAACAACAAACCAGTTTCTAGCACCAATGGTTTTTTTTAACACTGCTTTAAGTCTCTGATTGTCACCTTTACAATCCCACCCCTATATTTCTAATCATTTCCAAGTTAACTTCTTGAATATTTTTTACAGGTTCTCCAATGTTTTTTACGACCCAGCGTATGTCCGTGGTCGAATACATATCCAGTCCGACTCCAACTCGATCGATGTTTGTTTTTCGACAACCAAAGCTATCCTACGAAAATAATCTCTTTTTATTATCCTTTCATAAATATCTATGGTACGGTTCTGTTTCTTTGTTAGCAATTTTATTTATTGCCTTGTTTTTCATTACGTTTTGGGAATGGAAGAAGACACGCCTGGAAAATTCAATGGTAAGTAGAATAATTGTAGGATTAAAGGTGCGTAGGTTTTCGTATCCCTTTATATAAAATGAGCTCCACGAATGAACTTTGTCAAGTTTATTAGTCCGCAAGTCCGCGCAGAATTCGATTTTTTATAATTATTTAAAACAACACTTTTCAGAGCCTGGATTCCACTGTGCTCCGTCCAAATGTATCAGACATTGCAATTTTAATATTTGCAGCAACTTGTCAACAAGGTAGCCATACCGAACTAAAAGGTATTTAAAAGAACTTAATAAAACCCATTGCGTGATTCAAAGTAGACGGTCTTACGTCATACATTATATTGTAAAGTATGAAACACATATTTAAGTGAAAATTCCATTGAAGAAATCAGGAGTAGATCAAATACTTTTAAAAAGAGCTTTAAAAGAGAAGAGCAGACTATCCTGATGTTAAGACTTATGTTGCATATTAGTCTAAACTGAATGTTAGAAAGAAAAAGAAGGTCGTTCCACAACTGAGCATTTTTTAATCCAATTTTTGCTGCGCACCACCTCCATGTGGAACCAGCTACCCACTGAAGTGTTTCACCACCCACGTACAAATTCTTAAAAGGCCGGCAATGCACTCGCGATCCCTCTGGCATTGAGAGAGTCCGTGGGCGGCACCACTTAACATCAGATGAGCCCGCTGTCCATTTGCTGTTCTATAAAAAAGAATATTGAGGTGGTTCAATGTATCATAATACACGCATATTAAATCTAGGTCATTGGAATAAAACGTGGGACACAGTGTTATCTGAGTAATTATGTAAATAGCACTGTAAATGTTAGTTTACTGCCGATGAAATATTCACGCTACGTGCGAGTTTGTTTTTGCGTCTAATCCATTACATTATATGTATATATATATAATCTACATTACATTATATATAATCTAAGCTCACTCCTCGTTAATATAGGATGTTGATGAGGAGAGAGATTTGAGAACTTGACCAGGAGACCTATTTATTTTTAAATTGTACCTTATCTATAAAAAAGCTGTTTGCCATTTATCTCTAAGGACCAAAGGCCGCGGGAAAATATCGTGAAGAACAAGTCCTACTCAAGAATCCATATCGTGTTGAGGCTAAGAAAGCTAAGGGGCCGTTCAAGTATTACGTAAGCAGATCTAAAGGAATGTATCCCCCCCAATCCGCAAAAGTAAGCAAAGCTCTCAAAAATAATAGTACATAAACGTATTAATTTTTTGTAGGAATCCTCGAAAATGCATTTCGTTTCTTAGCATAGACAATGTGTGGGTAATATGTGTATAAAAATAAATAATTACTGTTGACGTAATCACCAAATAAGACAATCAAAGAAGCACCCCCCACCTCCCCCTATAGTGCTTACGTACCTAATACTTGAAGGGCTCGTAATTACTGACACACGAAACTTCCATATAAATTTTATCAATGCACAAGATGAGTCTAATCTATGCCTTCATGCATACTTCTACATTACCTACTTCATCATTATGTTTTCTAACGTTTTTTATTGATAACGACGCGATTTGCGTTGATTTTCTATGAAAACTTGTTTCGCAGTCTGTAAGTGGAATAGCACCTACCTAATAGAGAATAAACACATGGGCAGGAAATAATTAAGTGCTCGTCATTAGGCTGGTTTTCACCGAGCACAAGCTCCCATATTTGTTTAAAGCTATTTGTTTTGTTATCGTTAATTATCGGAACTTTCCGAACAACTTATATCGTGTTATTACTTAGGCTATTAGCAAGGAAACAACTAAACGACCATTTAAGCTTTATTTATCTATTTTAGTGTAGCAATTTTATAAGGTCAGATCTTTACAACTCTTTTACTGATCATAAGGCACGAACGATACGCAAAATTGAATAGCCATCGTAATAGAAAAGTAGCTATAGATTTATATGGAATACCTAGGTCCAAGGGCGTTTTTAAAAGTAAGAAATAAGCTCAAACGTACATCGAAAATACGCATAATACTATCGTAATGGTCGAGCTAAGGAAAATGACTAAATAATACCTGAACTGTAAACATCTTTGCAGTGACAAATTTCCTGCCTCTTTTCAACACCGTACAAGCCGTACGAGCTCTAAATTTCACCAACATCATCTTGATGGTTGGAGGTCTTCCACAGTCCGTTTCACAAGGCATTTTCTTTTGCGAACTAGCGAACTGTGAAATCGAATCCCGCGGGTCTTACCTCAGAGATACGACCTTCAAATGTTTAATAATCGAGTGTACTCCTCCCTCAAAGGCCGGCAACGCACCCACTAAAAATGGGTGTCTATGGGCTGCGAAGACTGCCCTCGTCGTCCGTCGGTCGTCGGGTCGTCCCGCAAGCTCGTTTGACCCCTATCATATAAAAATAATAAATTGTGCGTGTACTAGGTGTACACACGTAAGAAGTGAAACTTCTTTATGATCTTATTTTTCGAAAAATGATCTACTATATGCAACTTTACAGAAATTCGTTAAATTAGATAAAGTTTAACAAAAGGCTTTTATTATCATAGACATGAATACAAATATTTCATTTTACCTTATTACTACGAAGATTATTATAGAATTTCATTAATTGTAATAGAATTATTACTATCATTGAAAAACGTGACGATTTGCTACAAAATTTCTCCCATACGTCGATAAAGAAGTTTCATTCCAACGCCGATAAAGAAGTTTGACTTCAAAAAGCAACATGGCGCGTAACCGAAAAATGTGACGCGTAACGAAAAAAATGTTACACTAAAATTTTTTACAACCTCGATAAAGAAGTTTCACTTCAAAAACTATTGCCTCGCTATTATTTGCCCGAAATCTGCTTGATTTATTTACAGTCAGTAAAATGTAACTACACTTACTATTTCATAAAATATTATACTACATTGATTTCAAATAATAATCATAACCATTCATTTATAATAATAAAACGCGTTTTTGTTAAAAATTTACACTAATATAATTTTAATTTCAGGTTCCCTCGGCCGTATTGTCTTACTGCTGCTTTTTATATCCTTAACATTCCTTTACACATCGTATTCAGCTAACATCGTTGCTCTGCTGCAGTCCAGCTCCTCACAGATAAGGAGTTTGGACGACTTATTGCATTCCAGACTTAGTTTCGGCGTTCATGACACTGTTTTCAACAGATACTATTTTTCGGTAAACTTTAGCATACATAATGAAATTTAAAATGGTACTTTAAAATAATAATAGATATCTGATCTGAGCAAAGGTTAAAGCTAACGCGGTTTTGTGTTTGCCTTTGTGTATTAGAATAAAAAAATATGCAAAAGTTCGTCAAACTCAAGGCAAACATTTATTATTTTCACAGAAATATATTATCGCTTATATTCAATGATTCATTAATTCAAATTGGTCGATATGTATTTGCATGTTATAATTAGTAAAAATATTGAAAATGGATTTAGGTTAGATAGCTTAAAAAATAACTGAAATGTAATACAAAAATGCTGTACAACGGTGGCTTGAAAGAGATGGATATGTCACCGTAAAATTGTAAACACCGTTAGATTGTAATCTATCTCGCGAGATTGTGAACTTTCGAAAGATTGTGAACTCAACGTACTGCTTACAATTTAACGTATTATTATTCGGTAGATTGTAATCTATCGAAGTGAAACCGTCGTTGGGTCGCCGTTGTCCTAATAATTTCATTTCTTTGTAAAAAAAATTGAGTAAAGTTTGACTTAAATTTTGTTGATTTTAGATAGAGACCGAACCTATTCGAAAGGCGATATATGAAACAAAAATTACGCTATCTGGTGGTAAAACACGTTTCATGACGATGGATGAAGGAATAAAGAAAATGCAGATGGTATTAAACAGAAATCTAAAAATGAGGAAACTTTTAATGATATATATATATTATATAGCAAATTGTCTCAGTACCTTTACTAATAATATGTGTCTTCAAATACCAGTATATGAATCGAAATTAAATATTACAAACTTTTTTTAAATTTTAACTAGATAGATTGATGTCGATTAATACCATTATTTATATCTGTTATAACTGTTATCATCATATCTTTATAAATATAATTCTACTGTACCAGTGTTTGTCACTGAACTCCTCTTAAACGGCTGGATCGATTTAAATGAATTTTTGTATGCGTTTGGGTGGCGCCCTGGATGGTTTAGATTCACAAATCAGCCCGGCAGATAGCGCTACAGTTAGTACTTTCATTATTTGTTTAATATCCTAATCGCTTGAAATATCATGCAGGATAGCGTCTGTCGGATCTGCTAGTCTTAATATATATAAATCATGTGTCACATTGTTTGTCCGCGATGGACTCCTAAACTACTCAACCGATTTTAAATTAAATTTGCACACCGTGTGCAGTTTGATCCAACTTAAAAGATAGGATAGCTTACATCTAAATTTATAGCCACAATATTATTTTATTGCAAATTATTTGTTTATTATTTGACACAATTCTAACAGATGGCGCTGTGTTGAAACTACCAACGTTTCACATAAGCTATAATTTAATGGCATTTCCACCAAAACCCCATGTCTGGTGTTCTCCTACCGTTTCCCTTGAATAGTTTGCTATTATGTAATATAACAAAAATCTTAGCCACAGCAACGCTTGGCCGAGTCTGCTAGTTTGTTATAAATATTGACCCGTATGGCTAGGCCTTTACAAGAACATAGAAATTATACGTAAAATATGATAAAATGTACCAACACTCATTTCTAACTCTTATGGTTTATACTTTGTATCGATAAATTAGTCAAATATTTAGGAATATAAATTAATATAATTCTATGATTTAGGGCCTTTTCGCCTTCCATATGGAAACCGGTGTAGGTTACAAGTTTGTAAGCAAATACTTTGAAGAAGGTGAAAAATGTGGGCTCGAAGAGATCCAATATTTACAAGTGATTGACCCTTGGCTTGCAGTCCAAAAGGATACGCCGTATATGGAGTTGTTTAAAATTGGGTAATTTAATATTTGGCATAATAATTTCTATGTATATAAATATTGTATTCATGTTACGTATGTTATAAATAGCACATTAGTGTCAATCCAAATGGATCAATCTGTGAAACAATACATACAAACCTATATATCAATAGTTTAGTACATAACATGTTTGTTTTAAAATTAATAAAGTAAGCTAAGTACTATAAATACAACTTTTCTAACGAACGAATGAATTCTAATCAATGTAACCAGAATATAAATCCCATAATACGAAGGGGACATAGTAGGCATTAATAACTTTGTATTATTATTGTTCTGCCCCGAAATACTCGTACATCGGCAATCGAATCTAAGCCACAAAGTTCGAGATTTTAATTGAAATTATTATTTTCAAGTACAAAACGACTTCAGGAGCACGGTCTGCAACAAAGGGAAAATCGATTACTTTACGAGAAACGTCCGAAATGTCTAAGCAGACAAGATAATTTTGTATCCGTGAGCATGGTCGATTGCTATCCGGCTTTACTGATTCTATCCTATGGATCTCTATTGGCATTGACATTATTAATTTTCGAAATCTTATACGAAAAAAAGAAACAATCGCGTAAAACCTTCATGCAAAAGAAATAGTAAAATTCCATTGCATAGAAAAACATAGCAGATCTCGAAAAGCTTATTAAATGTCCTAACAATGTATTCGAATAACTTTTTACGGTAGATAAACTGAGTTGCAACTTTTTTTAAACGTTATGTGGAATATATTTTTGCTCAAAAATACTACGGGGAAAGTTATTTGAATATGAAGCGGAAGACGGTAGATTAACGGTCTGTTTCACAATGTATGTATAAAGTACCAAATAGCTATGTAACACATAAATTATTTGGAAGATAAATTGTGGTATTTGACATTCATCGACTCATAACTTATGATGGACTTTATGTGACGAATAGCGCTATCTGACAGTCGTGAAACGCAACAATGGTGTTTATCCTACCAATAAGCAATAAATAGCTAATTTAGAACTTATGTAGAACTTATCTGTACATTTATATATTATTGTGAAATAGACCCTTAGTTAAATATTATATGGAGAAATAAATCTGTAATTTTTACCATAATTGTTAAGTAGCTAACTCATTAAATATTCTTGATGCCTGTGAATTGCAGCGTCCGATGAAAATCTTTTCATTGGTTTATTTGTTATTCATATAACAAATATACAAAATTGTACTTACTCCTCTGATGCAACATTAACCTTTAAATTTCTATAATCAATTGATTTTACTGATTTTTTTTCACACAAGACCCTAGCACATCCCTGGCCACAAAGCAAATTAACGAACCTAATAATTATCGTTTAGCATAGAAAGCATAATACACCGATTAGTATAACTATTAGCTAACAATGATACCCTGTAATAAATGAGCCAGTTATTATTGCTAATGATATGGTAAGCTTCAATTATTGTACCTATTAGATCGCAACGCGCCCCGCCCCGACTTTGCATTTTCAATCTGCATTAGATACTTTCGAAATAAAAGTTGATTTAAAATGAATGTATTTTATTTAAAGCACCTCCGCGTGGTCACTGGTAAGTTAAGAGCCAACCTTGAAGTGTTATAAAAAAAGCATTATCATTTGTTTAACTAGGTCATGCTTGTTTCCCTAAATAGTAGGCAAAGATCATAGACTACGGTATTTACAGCTGGCTTCTTGCTTCTTCCACTATCAAATTCACAATACACTCTTCTTCGGTCATGGTCTTCACGTCTTGTTGGTCATTTCTTACGATTAAATAAATAAACATTCGATAACAAGATTCCATTCAGAAGGTTTTTTTCCGAGATGTGCTAAGCGCCCGTTTTTGTCCTTTAAGTCGTCATCCCTCGGCTGTGTGCCAACAGGTTTTTCCCTATTTAGGCTGCAGCCTCGAATTTTGCGGGCAGCGGGGCGGCGGCGGCTGCGGCGCGGGAGCGGGCGATTTCACCTCTCGTTACCCGCCCTCGCGCCGTTGCCACGCCGCTGTTTTCGAGAACCCGTCCATTTGATTTTACGCATAAGATCCTGCCGCTCCCGCGCCGCCGCCGCTGCCGCCCCGCTGCCCGCAAAATTCGAGGCAGCAGCCTTACGGTCGAGAAAAACATTATGAGGAAACTGTCATGTCTCATATTATATCCACAATGCATGAGGCACTAAATACTGACCAACTTGCCTAAAATTTCATAAGGGAGTTTTGGGCCTTCAGATCTTTGCAAATTAAATAGTAACATTTGCCGCTTACATGTCTTTAGCTTCTATATACATCGAGCAATTTAATTTTTAATTAGATAAATACACATATGTACAACGACCAGGCATATTGCTTTTATGCTTGTCAATAGAAACTAACCACTCATTAACTGTCCACCAAAGGGAACAGTTAAATAGAATCAAAACTAAGAATGCAATATAAAGCATTGTTTTTATTTTTATTTTTTAAAAGTAGTTTGTCTATCACCTTGAATGAGATTAATATGACGGTGGATTTAGTAAACTCTTTTAACAAACCCACCGCAATTTTTGCTTTCATTTGTGAATATAAACGTAAGATATTAAATATAGTGAAAAAATATTTATTTTTACTAGTTTGCTATTCGCTATATTATTAGGATTTATTTTATTTTATTATGCTGGTGTTGTAGGTATCATATATATATTTTACTAGAAATCCTTCTAGGATCATAAAGCATTTGCTTACCTTTTTTTAATGATAAGGTTTGCCTATCAAACGGTTACTTAACCCTCGTGTATAAGCTAAAGGCTAATTTTAAAGTATTCAATGGTTAAAATATTTTTTTTTAATTTCCCTTTTTCAAAATTTAGATAACGAAATTGTACAGATGGCAAAATTGTTGAGGCAACATTCGCTCTGTTACGTTTTTGATAGTGACGATTTTAACAAAATTCCTCAGAATAAAGATGTGTTAATAATGGTCGAATTGAACTGCCCCGCAAGTAAAGCTTTGTTACAAAAGGTAAGTAATATATGTATTCCATAATCAAATTTATATAATAATAAATTGTGCGTGTACTAGGTGTACACACGTAAGAAGTGAAACTTCTTTATGATCTTATTTTTCGAAAAATGATCTACTATATGCAACTTTACAGAAATTCGTTAAATTAGATAAAGTTTAACAAAAGGCTTTTATTATCATAGACATGAATACAAATATTTCATTTTACCTTATTACTACGAAGATTATTATAGAACTTCATTAATTGTAATAGAATTATTACTATCATTGAAAAACGTGACGATTTGCTACAAAATTTCTCCCATACGTCGATAAAGAAGTTTCATTCCAACGCCGATAAAGAAGTTTGACTTCAAAAAGCAACATGGCGCGTAACCGAAAAATGAGACGCGTAACGAAAAAATGTTACACTAAATTTTTTTCCAACCTCGATAAAGAAGTTACACTTCAATAAGGATGCAATTTTTGTATGAGTACCCTTATTCATAATAAATTATTCAGCCTGTACGCACTATTATAATTAAAGTAATATTTGATCTCTCTGTCAAATTTTGTTACCGTTGTAAGAACAACGCACAAATAAGTACTATAGTAGCTGTCACAGGCATAAAAATATTTAATGAGTTAGCTGCCTAGCCTAGGGGGATCGAAAATGTCCTGAACTGTTTCGAGAAATGGATGGTACGGCCGAGCCGCTTTTTTCCTTTACTTGGCTGTCCGATCCGATGTTGTTTTTAGACAAAACACCTTCTTGTATTATTACCTTTTTTAGGCAAATGATACAAATAAATTCCGAAACCCTTCACGGTGGTTCATCATCGAACAAGCTGAGAAACTGGACAATTACAACTTTTTGTTCGACTCTGATGTTATCGTTGCTGAAATGAAAGAAAATCTTTATAGCTTGTTCATTCGTAAGTAAAGTTAAATCTTTTTGTTAATGAATTCCGTTTAGTTTAAAGTGTAACACATCAAACTGTATTTTTGGATTTTTTTAATATTATTGTTATTTTTACTTTCTTATTCTAAATTTGAAATGAGGATATATTCTTTTTTTATTTTTCATCACATGGTATGGCTGTGGCGTTTATTGCAAAAAGCACATGTATTAAGCGTAACTATATTTGTTATTTTCGATATATGATTTAAATTTAGAAAATACAAAATAAATGCATAGACCTCTTTAAACACATATGTACTCTATAGTTTCCACTAATTAAAGTTTCTCTTATAGTTTACAAAACACATAACCACGGCGCGCTTATAAAAGAATCGTTTGGTACTTGGACAGCGTCGAATGGCTTAAATAAAACTAGCGAAATGGATAAACCAGCTTCAATACGACGCAAAGATCTCATGGGCCTACCCATAGCGGCTTCAATTGTTATAAGTGATAATAGAACGAAGAACGAAATTATGACTTTAAGGTGAGGTTAAGTCTAAAAAAGCATATACAGTGTATATGAACCTATGGTGTGTATATTATAGCAGCATATATTAGAGCATCGGCTTTATTTTTGAAAATCGTCTGGTTTATTGTTTTGTTAATAGGTACATAATAATGCTTATTTACTACATGAATATTTGACGTTTGCAAGTTTGCACATATAATTACACATACAAAAACTAGTGCGGCTACAATCTTTTAGATCTGGGCCTCAGATTTCGGATATCTGTTTCGTGATTTCGTAATAGATTGACCTTGATCAGCCACATGCTGTGCCAGGTTCGTGTGTGCGACTATTTGGATGCCTTGGACCCAAATAGTCGTTTCCTCGCGATGTTTTCATCTCATCGTACGATTGGAAACAGAAGGTTAATGCACTGCCAATAACGAAGCCTCAGGTGAGAGTCGCTCGTTGAAACCCTTTTTTTTTCGTGGGAAAATGCGTTACGGATACCCTCCTGCGGCAGTGTTGCCTGATGGCGAAGGGTTGTGTGGGACTCGCGGCTGTGCATACCCAATAAAACCCCACGGCGCCACCAGCAATCGCCCGAGGCAGGGCACGGTAACAGCGTAGCCTTGTCCGCATCTCGTTGAAACCACTGCGTCAACACTTCTCTGCTACCAATACCAAAAACTAAATTTCAAAATATAGTGCACACAATATTATGTATCATGATATTTACATAATATTTATCAACGTTACCAGTTAAAGGACATGAGCTCATAACCTGCCCAAAGAGCTGTGTATTGGCTATTTACGTAACTACTCATTGTTTTAAAGTAAACGGTAATTGTATGTAACTGGCTTTGACATACAAATGTGGGTCATATTTTTAGCTATTTTCGTCTGTTGTCAATGTTTAGTTAATATAAACAATTTTTTAGTCTTTTATCATATATTTTGCAAGCTGTGGCCGACGGATTCACCCCCATTCATTCCATCGTAGCGTGGTCGTCTATATTATATGCCTTCCTCGATGAATGTTATTAGTTTTGAAGAATAGCGCGTTCAAAAAAACTTATTATTAGTAAATACAAGGAATATAATTCACACAGCGCACTGTGTCGTGGTGCGGCATAAAACGCGTGTTATTCATTTATTTACAGCTTAAATGCCAAACCATAATTATAATATAGATATATATACTAACTTATATTATCACATTGGATCGCTTCGCAGTGTTTACTTACGTAGCGTGGGGCTTAAAAAGCTTAAACTTAGCTCTTTAGTGGGAGTAGACTTCTCGCTGATCTCGATATCTCTCGAGATCTCGCTGTTGGCCTTCAGGGCCTAAACAGCTCGATAACAAAAATAATAACAGCCTTCGGCCAGTTTTGTGGGCATGGGCGGGCGTGGAATGGGCGATTTTAACGCGATTAGCGCAAGGGCGTCTACTGCGAGACTCGGACCTGGGCTTGGGCCGTCGCGGGGTGGTCAATCGCCTGAAGGGCAGGACGGAAGCTCACTGGAGTAAGCGAAGTATGAAGTAAAGGTCTACGCCTTTCCCGGCGAAGGCGGTTTTTTCCCAAATCTGATTTTGGCTATTATTAATATTGGCCGCGCGGGCGGATTTTAATTTAATGTTAGCTACGGTGATTGGATCATCCGGATCCGTTATGATATGTCAGAGCCTCCTTCGGGCCTTTTTTGTCGGGAAGGGGGTGTGGTAGTAGAGGAGGCGGGAAGCGATATTTATACTTTCCTCTCAATCTTTGATAAAAACTGGAAGAGTATTTTAAAAATGTTTGATAAAATTTTTAGATTTCGTTTATAAGAAAAATATTACTAGTGGGTGCTAAATGCAAAATAAGTTGACATTTAACGAAAACATACTTATAACACTTAGGCGTTATTTAGTTATAATTCCACTAAAGTAAAGAAAAAGATTTTCAGTTGAATGTATTTTTCATGTTACCACCTTATGATATTGAAAATATTTACTATCCGGCTCGCGACCAAAACTATTTAGATCTTGTTATCACATTTCCTTATATTTTATATACACAATAAAATATAAGGAAACTCTCAGTCATTCCCTTTTAAAATTATTATGTTTGAAATAATGAAACATTTTTATTTTAATTTATTACGCTTAAATTTCTTAGTAAAATACATTTCAGTTTTTACAACTTAAATCACTAATAGGTATACCTTTAAACTGCTTATTGAATGCGTCTGATTGTTTTTTAAGTTTTTTGGACTAACCTCCCCAATCCGCGAAAAAAATTCAGTGGCGCTACAACCTCTTGGTCTCAGATTTCTGAATCTGTTTCATGATCATTTTTAAATCTAATAGGCAAGTAGGTGATCAGCGTCCAGTGCCTGATACACGTCGACTTTTTGGGTCTAAGACATGTCGGTTTCCTCACGATGTTTTCCTTCACCGTTCGAGCAAATGTTAAATGCGCACATAGAAAGAAAGTTCATTGGTGCACAGCCAGGGATCGAACCTACGACCTCAGGTATGAGAGTCGCACGCTGAAGCCGCTAGGCCAACACTGCTCTCCCCCAACCCACAGAGGTCCAGAAAATTTTGAAAAAATTAACTAGATCTCTAGGCCGATTCCCTACTCGCTGGACCGATCCAGTGAAAGCGGTTACAAGTCCCAGACCCAGACGGTGAGGCTTACCAAAGACAGGGGGAGTGAAGGAAATAGTGTAGCGTCACTAACACGACTTTCAGAAATGAAGAGCACGATTGAAGATGATCATAGTAGACATAGACTTGACTTTAGTCATTGTCATTAGCTATTCATTCGGATTAATACCTGCAACTGAGTTTCATCATCGGACGTCGAAGATGAATATGAAATCCTGATCGTATCATTTTGATCATCTATGTGAAACCAGCTGTCCATTGGAGTATTTCCGAATAATTCAACTTTAAGTAACTGAAGTACTTACTTCGAGAAGAAACGTACCAATTCTTAAAAGTTCTGCGACGCTTTTGCGAGCCGGCAGTGTTTGTCCCTGGGCGTTGGGCATCATATAACATCATATCCGTCACATCATATAACATCATATCCGTCACATCATATAACATAATATCCGTCACATCATATAACATCATATCCGTCACATCATATAACATCATATCCGTCACATCATATAACATCATATCCGTCACATCATATAACATAATATCCGTCACCATACCGTTAGCCCCCTGCCTTGTGATTCGTTAAGTAGGGAGCTTGTAGTTTATTGTTTATCACAATGCCAAATCGTAAAACGACTGCTTTACGACTGATTTGAGCGCGACCGCCGCTGTGAAAACCGCTGTGAGAGTTCGAAAAGTGAGTTACAGAATCGCCAGGCTGTTCTATAAAAAAAGTGATAATCAAGGGTCTGAGCATTGTAAATGCAACGCTGCAAATTAAGTTTTGTGAATTTAAAATAGATGGTACGTAGATGGGTAAATTTTGTTTTAATCAGACAGCTTTTATTAGTGCTTTGAGTATTTAGTGTCTCATATTCAAATATTACAGGAACATCTTCGTGGATACAGTAGCAAAATCGGGGTACCGTCAAATTTGTCCACTGTACGACTTCTTGAACGCCTCTATGGTGACCTTGTATACTGACACTTGGGGATATCAAACTAACGGGACGTTTAACGGAATGGTCGGAGATTTGGTTCAAGGAAAAGCAGAACTTGCTGGTAACATTTGCTGTATTAATCTATAAATTCGATTAATTTAAATCAAAATATAATTTATTTAAGCAGGTAACATAATGTACACTTATGAATGACATAAAAAAATTAATACTTCTAAATGTACATCTACTGCTTGTTCTCAAATCAAGGGCGTAAAACGGACGAAAAGAACTGTTTATACTCTCCGTCCCTCTTTTAAAACGCCAAGGCTTTCTACAAAATGTTTGTTACCACTTTAAAACAGTTTATTATTAGTCAATGAGGATCATGCACTTACATTACTGTGGGAACAACACGCACACACGTTTATGTAAAAATAGACCATCTATCCATTGAAAGGGCTTGCAAAAACTCAAACATTTGACAAGCGACAAGTAATTTTTCTACAGGTACAATGATATTCATAACAAAATCGCGGCTGGATATACTAGAATATTTGGTGTACCCTTCGCCACCCACTACCAAATTCGTATTTCGTCTTCCGCCTTTGTCCTATCAAAACAATCTTTTCCTATTACCGTTCAGGCCCAAAGTGTGGTTATGTATTCTTGGACTCATTATACTGTTAACAACTATTCTACTCATCAACGCGTACTGGGAATATGAGAAATTGGACATCCGGAACAATGTATGTATTTTTTTAAAGGCTAAATTATAAGCAAAATTATACTTATTAAGCTACTGGATATAAAAGATACCTTCAGTAATTCAGAAATCTAATAGCTTATTCCTCTTTTCTTAGGATAATTGGATATAAAATAAACAAGGTTTAAGGTACTTTTCTACCATGACCTATTAGGTATTACCAATAGATATTAAGCGACCAAAGATCGCGTCAAGTTTTTAGTTCGATTAATATAAATGCCAATTTTTTTTATTATGTGTCCAGGGACTTTTTCTATCTCTTAAATGTTTACTAAGAAGATACAATATTATATTAATTACAATAAACTAGTTCACGAATGACGCGTTACGCATTTCGCGTGATACGTCCCAGCTACATCGGTAGTATTTTTATTTACAATATTCTTAGGCGAGCCGGGGCGCAATTCCTTGCGAGACCCGTTCGAATGCCAAATACATATTATACCATACCCAAACTGATGTTTTCTTATTAATTACTTTATTTCTTAACAAAATACTTTACAATGTATGTAATTAAACCTATTCCTATCATATTCCAGAACGATCAAACAGTGTTGCGACCAAATATAAGCGATATTACTATATTGGTTATAAGTGCTATTTCTCAACAAGGAAGCTTCACCGAACTCAAAGGTTAGTTACTTATCTCATTAATCTAATAATTATTATATTTTCCTGTGGTCATTTTTAAAGCGGTAATAATTATGTTGTATTACAACATCTTCATTGTTTCCTTAGCTTCCTTTACATTAAGGAAATGATGACGTTAGGGGCATTTTTTATCTCTTATACCAAACTACAAAAAAACACGGTGATTTGAAGAATTGTACAGTGTTGGTATACACAGAGCAGTATTGGCCTAGTGGCTTCAGCGTGCGACTCTCATCCCTGAGGTCGTAGGTTTGATCCCCGGCTGTGCACCAATGGACTTTCTTTGTATGTGCGCATTTAACATTCGCTCGAACGGTGAAGGAAAACATCGTGAGGAAACCGACATGTCTTAGACCCAAAAGTCGACGGTGTGTGTCAGGAGGCTAATCACCTACTTGCCTATTACTTGCATATTCCATCAGTATTTTCTTATGACTTTGTCACGGTCAACTATCGTCAGTAAGCCGACTTTACAGACCGATTTTTTTCGCTCCAATACCGATTTTTTTGCGTCCAAATGGATCTAAGGAGAATAATTTATAAACTTCGATTAAATTGTCGACTCTTTATAAACGATTCTAGGTACGTCCATTAGTAGTCTAACACATTTTTAGTGCAAGCTTTAGTACTCTCAATGTGTATTTCCTCACAATATATGTGCAAATATTAAATTGAAGTACAATTGCCTAATTAATGATTACAGGTACCCTCGGACGCGTGGTAATGTTCCTTTTATTTTTCGCGTTTGTGTTCCTGTATACCTCCTATTCGGCAAATATCGTAGCCTTGTTGCAGTCCAACTCTAACAAGATAAGGACTCTATCTGACCTTCTGAACTCCCGACTTGAACTGGGCGTCGAGGATACGACGTACAATCGATATCATTTCTCGGTAAATATCAATATAAGATTTGAGGCTAGATTCTTAAGTCATAAAATATAAAGGTACTTGACCTTTTCAAAACGGGTTTTCTTTTAATTTTGTATGTGCCCTATAAGAAACACAATCGTAAGAAATAGGAAAAATATTCAAATTAAAACCGCTTTCTTGATTTAATAACTCTATATTAATTTTTAAATTTTTAAAATTTAAAATTTCCATTTTGACGATCTCCTTAAGTAATGTTTTAATGCGTAATGTGGCTTTGATAAATACTATATATAAAAACTACTTTTCTCTACTTTTTGGTTAGTCTTTTAAAGTTGTGTAGAACTCATAAACCGAAACGAGGTGAACAATGTATTTTTTGAAGTTATACTTCTTTTGGCGCGTTAGAGAAAAATTATTACAGTAACACCGTCACAAAAATGCGACACTTTTTACTGTTGTTAGTAGTTTTGACTACTAGCGCTATAAGGCGAAAGATAAAATTTTTAAAAAGATTTTTATCTTGTTATGCCAAAGAAGTATAACTTCTAACGCGTGTACATAAGTACTCACACATGTTTTTTTACAGATTGCCACTGACCCAATAAGGAAAGCCATATATCAAACTAAAATAGCGCCTCAAGGATCGAAAGACGCCAACTTTATGAGTTTAGAGGAAGGAGTTAAAAAGTTACAAACGGTAATAAATAAATAGTCATACTTCCGCTAAAATATGTAAACACAGGAAAATTTACACATTTTCCTTTTTCCGACGAATATGTTGTTTGTTTAGATGAAATAATGATAATCGTCTTTTAATTGCATACAATATCTTAATACATAATGTGCAGAACCTCGAATCGACTTAGGGTATAAATAATGTATGTTTTACTCAAATACAATGTGTGCACCAACTACAAAGTACAACGTATATAACAAGACCCTTTATGATATATGAGTTAAGGGTTACTTAAGGTTTATTATATAACGGTAGGTACCTATATGGTTACGATTTAACAGAGATTAAAATAATATTAAATTAACACCAATAGGAATTAAAAGGGTTTTTCTATGTTTAATTTAGTCGTGATCGAGTATTTAATTGCTTTAATATTATTGTATTAACTGACGACTCTGTACGGCTATTAGGACGAGATTCAGAGACTGGTTTAACCGCGAAATAACTTTTTCATTTGCGAAAATGACAATGACATTGCTATGCTATGGCTTTGACAGATGGAACATGTGTCAAAGGGTTGTAATTAGTATTGTTGAATAAAGAATGATGAAAATATGCTAACCTGAAATTTTCGAAGAGGTCATCACGTATTAGCGATAAGGCTCCCACTGAGTAACATCTATGTTTGCAATTGTTTCCTATTCATATAAATGAAAAATCTGTTAAATAAATCGTAATTATTTAGCTAGGTTGCAATAATTTTTGTAGTTTTGTAGAATCTCTTATTAGAATTTTTTATACACTATTTATTTATTGATATTGTTTAGAATGTAATGTAATTTTGGATGTTTTCTTACTGTAGAAACCATTCGCCTTTAATATGAACTTGGGAACTGGATACAAGTTGGTTGAAAGATATTTTCACGAACACGAAAAGTGTGGTCTTCAAGAGATTCAGTACATTCAGGAATCAAAAGCTTGGCAAACGTGCCGAAAAAATTCGCCGTACAAAGAAATTTTTAAAATTGGGTAAGTCCACCGTGGTCTGAGGCTCGATTCACTCACAATATTTCCTACGGTTTTGGCGCATCATTTTCGCTTAAAGAATTGACAAATAATATAATGTGCGAGACACAAATATTTCTAATTTCAAGTTGATGTCAGTATTCAGCCTTATAATACAATCCTATACAAATTGAATTTAAACTAAAATAAAAGCCTCTACAGATGGATCTAGACTTGACTATGTATGTTAATGGAATCTAGGGCTTTTTTTCACATACAAGAAACATTATTTTTTCGATTAGGAAATCCTTATTTCCGTGAGTTCAGTTCGGTGGCGGTGGTTGTAGATATGTTTGAAGCTGGGTGTCAACTGGCTTTAATCGTTTAATACATGAACTTATAACTAACATAAAAAACTAACTTGGCTAATTAAGGGTTTTTAAATCGAAGAGACACTTTAATATAATTTTAGACGACCTCTTTGGACATTATAATTTTTATAATTTAATAATTTTGGAAAAACTAAAGAGCTCATTTTGGCTTCAAGTGTACGATGATTGCTAATATTTGGTTTACGCGTCTAATAATTTACTAAAATATATATGTAACTTAACTAATGTTAGGTTACATAACTATATTTTTCAGTTTGATCAGGAATCAAGAACATGGTTTGAACGATCGAGTTAATCGGTTAATATACACGAAGAAACCTGCCTGCGCTTTCCGCGGTAGCAGCTTCGATTCCGTCAACATGATCGACTTTTATCCAGCATTACTTCTACTGCTGTATGGAATGATGTGTGCGATCCTCTCTCTTCTTTTAGAATTTTTTTATCACAAGCGAGTCATGCGTATTTCTAAAAATTGTGCGTAATTCAAACCCAATAGAAGATAATGGGTTATGCTACGTTTTCTGTTAAAAGATAAATAGATTTTTTTAATCATTAAAAGCAATTAATTATCTATTTTTCACAAGCACAAGTCAATATTACAACACGTCAATATTTTACATACTTTATTAACATAGTTATGTATTTAAGTAATAAACATTAAACTCTATTGAGTGTTTGTTTTTTGTTTTCCTCAACACAATAAAATAAGAATGATTATTATCATAAAAATGGTTGTTATATTTAACCTCACGAATTTTAAGTTAATCATGCGTTTCTACGTCTTTCAAAGTCGAGACTTAGCGCTAATGAGTCCCATGTCATAAATTTTATTTGATTTTGACATAATACGTACTGACGTATTAGCCCACGGGAAGGACTGCCTTCCCGTGGGCTAATAGCAGAGTCGCCTGTTATATTTCTAAATAATAACATCTGTAAATCACAAATTTGAATACCAATGATGTAAGAAAAAACAGGAATGACCTATATATATAATATCCTTTAGAGCTAACTAATGTTTTATAATTTTTATACTCCTGTCACAAAAGTGCAGCATCACTTATAGTATGCTTTGCTATTGAGTTTTTATTAGGCGCATCTGAATGTAAGGGCCGAGTGAAGACGTTAAGACGTGTCGGGGCCTCGAACGGGCCTTTTTTGTCGGGAAGGGGTAATACTTGATGCTTTTACTTGGCGTGTGGACACTAATTTCATCCATTTGAGAGGAGATCGTGGTGGAGATCGATGTTCCTCACGTAGGGCGCGGCGGTTGCGATTCTCATGAATCGCGCCTGTAACCGGTGGATATGGGAGGAGGCACAATGGGCGAAGTTTCACGTAGGTCATGCATGCCCCCAGTGCCTAAGGTCAAATTAGGCAACAAGGGCAACTGCGGTCCACGCGTGCGAGTGCGTACGATTCTCGAATGGGAGAGTCGTGTGAACGAGACAACATGAACATAAGCGCCACTGCGTGTCGTATTCGATAAAATCGTTTCGAAACGCGGCGATTCCAGTGACAACTTCGCACGGTATACGGTAAAATATATTTCTCGAACACGGGATTTTGCCGTATGAACGCCGTGTAAACAATTTTTAAGTTTTCATGTATATTATGTTGTCACTACTCTATTCGATAAAATCTCGTATACGGTATACGGGAAAATAATCGCCGTGTGAACGTGGCCTGACGGTATCGTCATTATAGAATACTATATATATCCTTCATAAGTTCCTGATGATTAAACAAGATTTATGATGGAGAGGGATGCATATGTTTTGGGTACTTATAATAAAAAACTTTAACTAAGCATAATAAAACCTAACTAATTTATAAGAATATTCTAATTAATTTTATAATATTCTTTTTCAACACTAACTCGTGATGTAGAAAAATTGAAATAAATGGTTTTTTATTGCATCTATTTCATTATGTTTCTTAACGCGAATTATATCCCTTATTTATCAGCTGAAGTAATGAAATCAGCCTAAATTTTATGACTGATGATCATCATCTTATTGTTTTACAGAAATAACGAAGAATTTTAACCAGATAGGTATTTAAAACTAAAGAGCTGGATTATTTTTATAACTAAATAGCTAGCAAGCTCTACGTTTATTACTACTATTTCCAATACTAAGAGGGTTTTTTTAAAATATATATTCAATATTTTAACAAGTTTATAAATAAAGTATCTACTGTGGAAAAAGGATCCTTGAACAGTCTTACCTCTAACTGGACAGCCCGAAGGCCCCGATGGCTAAAGCAAAGTAATTGTATATTTGTTTTTGGACACTCACATTGCTAGAAGGCTCGCAAATGTGTTGCCGGCCTTTTAAGAATTGGTACGCTCTTTTCTTGAAGGACCCTGTACTCGTAGATTGTAAGTGTTAATATATAAAATAATGTTTGTTAATAAGTGTTAAATTTATGAAGACAAAAATATATTCAATATGTGTTTCTTTGTATTATAGAAAGATCAATTTGTTTTTAATATGTTTTTTAAAACTCACATCGCGTCATATCGATAAATTCGAATTATTAAACAAAGGATTTTACCGTGATTTCTATATGATAATGTGCGGCGCCGATTAATAAAGATAAGATAATATCGATTCGACGAATGGAATGATAATTATTACTTCAGTTTTTGTTTTTCAGTGAATAACGCAATATGTATGTAAAAGTTCTCTTTGTGGTTGTATCAATATGTCTACAATATACTGCAGGTATTGTTATAGAGTCGGGAATTCTAACGCTTACAAAAGTTCTTATAATAAAACTATCATGCTCAATGACAATATTGAGACAATATTATTTTAAGTCTCGTACTTCTACGTAATAGGGCTCGAAGCACTGCGTTTGATTCATGACTACCATACCCGAAACGATTGTTTACCTGGGAATCGAACCTAGAATCTTTGGAATTTTGTACTCGATAAAACCTACATACAACCACAGTACTATCCTATTGACGTATTTTAAGCAAGTAGACGATCGACCTTCTGTACGAAACAATTATTGGTTTGCAAAGAATAGAACCCAGGACGTCATAAGTTTATTGTAATTAAAAAAAAACCCAGGGCGCCTTAGACGAAACAAATGGCAGTATAGTAATGTTTTTGTTTTTTGTCTATAATGCGGTGTTCAGTTATATACATCATTTAAACACAGCAATATGTTTTATATGTTAATCAACAAAAGATATATAGATGTAAATCGCATTAGTCATAGCCGTAAAAAGAATTATTACGTAGGAAAAAATAAAAAATAAAAGAGGTCTATCAACTATCGTTCTTTGTGCATTGATCAAGCTATTTTTTTTCAATATTACTAAAGCAATCATGTGTTTTGTTTTTACTATTAACACTGTAAATATTAAGTAATTAAATTAAATTTATCAACAATGCTTTCAGCTCAACTAGTTTGCTACGCCTGCAGCTTTTCTTCAGTTGACACGGACAGGTCCTGCATGACCATAACTAATAGCACTCCAGTCGTGAATTGTATTCATAAATATTGCACAATAATGAGACAAGAATTTCGGGTAACTATTTCATTAAAAAATATATAGTCTATAAGTAGGTATGTAACCTACGGCTTCTAACAATTACGAAGAGTATTTTAGGATTATAAATTGTGAGATATTAAATTAACAATGAACGCGCTACTTAAATTTGCGTATTTTGAATCGTTTTCTCAATAAAGCAATCCCAAAGCAAAACCTAAAATATCGATAACCCGCGAAAACAACTGTTGCAGATTATCAAAGTTTATATATTTTATAGGCGTAGTGTCTCTTGTTAAGTGTTCTGTGATCGTGATTGTTGTCGAGGAAAATATTAAATCAAGCAAATGTTATGTTTCAGGATCCATCTGGAGTAATTGCAAGTTTCACCCGTAGTTGTTTAAGTTCACCCGATTTTTTAAATCACGAGGTAGAGGATCCAACTTTTAGAACGTTTTATAGAGCTTGCACCATCAACCGCTGTAATATAGGTAAGTAAAAATGTACAACAATTACATTATTTGAAGTAGTAGAACTAGAAATCTATAAACAAAAAATTGGTTGTTTATAGCTTTTTAGTATGTAGTATTGTTTCACATTTACATTGATGCTTTTCAGGCGATGGTATACAGTCTGTGACGGGAAGTAATTTATCACCAAGACCGGAAACAAATGCTACTAATATACTAGTCCCCGGAACCGGAGGGTCTTTCAGTCTGAAATCTAACTATCTGGTGACAATGCTCACTATACTTGGAATATTATTTAATTTTCAATAGTTATGAAAGCGAAAAGCGTAATTATGGTTGTCTAAATTTAGGTAAAAGTCCAATAAATTATTACTTTATATACAGTAAGTACTTTTTTTAAATATAATTTAAACCACAACTTTCAATTATTTCGCGCCATTGGCAAACACTTAAAAATTTGAAATGGCCGCCATCAAAATTTAAATTGTTGTCATAGTTACAATGTTTGCATTTTCTTTGTGAATTGTGAAATAATCCCAAATTCTTGTATTTGGTTAAAAACATTAATTAAAAGTAATAACATAGTCCATGTACATACCTCTTTGGATTATGAGTTTTACAGAAAAGAGCTAAAATTATTTACCACTGACATTGACGTTAGCTGTTAGCTATAGCAATATTGACATTTTTTTCATATTCGTAATTCAATGAATTCTAGGTTATGTTTTCCATTTAAAATAAATAGTTAAAATGTAATTATTAACTTAAATTTATCATCTAAGTAGTTTTAAACCAAATATGACAACTTCTCCGACCAGGACAAAACAAAAATTGTCTCTTCGAAAGCGGTTATTTGTTAAAAAATCGCCAAAAGTTGGTTGTTATGTTGATACTGATTCTAATGATGAATTCAATCAGTCGTCATCACGTCCGATGTCTCCAGCAGATCCATTCCTTGCACAAAGTGCTAACAATATTGAAACTAACGTAGAGAATTTAAAAAGTTGTAAAACAGCTGGCTGTGAACAATCTTCTCCTGAAGCTCATATAAACCCTGATGATCTCCAAAACGACGACGAAAAAAACTCGAAATGTTGCAGAAAACTATTTAGACGTTCCCGCCCAAAAAGTCTTGTCGAGGCACAATCCCTAAAAGATGAGACACATTCAAGACCAGAGAGTCCTGTTAATAATTCTAGTAATAGTTTAAGTGACCATACTCTATCTTGTACTAAAAGTGAGGAGATACCGAAAGCAACTGTGTGTTTTTCTAAATGTGATGATTCAAAGAAAAGCTTTGAACATTCAGGTTCATTTGAGGGTATTAAGCCTAAAAGTAAGTTATTTGTGAAAAGATTGTCAGCTGATCACTTAATATCAAGTGATACAAAACCATTGTACCATTCTTCTTCACCTGAAAGTGATAGAAGCAGTTCTTTGGACCGTAAAAGGAGGTATGTACTCTTTTTATGTAATCATTTGGGCACTAAATCCATTTTAAAATGTATCATAATTTGTTCAGAGCCAAGTCAACAATCACAAGGTCATCACACACTGGAAGCACAGATAGCTTGGCTCGTAATTCATTGCTTGCTGCACAAGTGCTACGTCTCATACCAACACAAGAAGCAAAGCAAAGGTTTGGGTCTTCTTGATCTATTTAATTGAATGTAATCCTTTAGCACATAACACTTACATATTTTAACCTTGATGTGTAATCTATGACATAGTAGTTTTATCTAATAATTTTCAAAATTGCCTAGTCTTGTGAAAAGTATGAGCTACATAAAGTAAGCAAAGAACACAACATAAATTTATATACATACAACTGTTTGGTGGACTCAGTTACCGCACTTAGATGCTTATTGGGTCCGTTGTGTGATTATACATAGGACTAGCTAGTAGTAGTACTATAGTAGTGTGTTGTAATTGTTAGTTAATTTTTCAGGAACTATTTATATGGAAGGTTAGCATCCAATTCACTTTTAGGGACAGCAGAATTGGAGCATGTATTTCCAGATCGAGAGGTAAAGATTTTTGTTGGAACATGGAATATGAATGGGCAATCTCCACCAAGGTAACTAATTAGACTTAAGTAGGACTATTGTGATAACTGAAGTATTGCTAGTATTTTTATGTGTAATGTAAAATAGTTTTTATAATTTAAGAATTGATTAATGCTTTTTACTATGTGTGTTTGTTACATTAAATCTTGTAAATTATTTTTCCAGAGAACTTGCAGATTTTATATTTCCCGATGAAGTTAAGCATGTGCCAGACATATTTGCAATTGGAACACAAGAATCATATTCAGAAAGAACTGAATGGGAAATTACTATTCAAGAAGTTTTGGGTCCATCACATTTGTTATTACACTCTTATTACTTAGGTAAGTGTGATATGTTTTTGGCACTCACACTTTGTAACAAAAATCTAGAAGTTCTACAAACTTCAGTTCTGTCTCTATTTATTATAAAAAAATTACATAAAGAATCTCAGTTAATTTCTATTGAGATTAGCCATTTACGTGGCACCGACTATGGCACACAGCTTATTATGTAATTGATTCTGTAATTGACATGCTTTAGTACACAAAACAAATAAATATTTTTCATGTTAAATAATTTTAAATTAATTACTAGTATGTTTCATATACCCACAAGTAACAACAATGTATCCCAGAATGGTCCACTCGCTAGAATGTGCAAGTACTATAATTCTGTGTGTTCTCATGTTGATATTTTTCACAATAGTATTTTTGAATTTAAAAAGATTATTAGCGGTGAAGACTTGCAACCTGAATAACTTCTATTTTTTGACATTACATTTAATATATGTATGTAATAGTTAATATTTAGTAAACCAGCAATGGAGATCCCACTAAAATGCTGTGTACAGGTGTTATTGGGATTCAGGTTTACAAATGTTGTTAATTTGTAATAACTTTATGTATTTAATGAATCTTTTGTCTGTTTCTGTACCGAGAATGTAAAATAAAAAGAGGATCTCTATTTAAATTACTCTTTATAAGTATTCAAATTTTGATGAAATAATAAAATGGCTTATATTGTTTGTGTTTTTAGAAGATTATTTACACTCAATATGTATGTTTGATAACCTATTGCTGCTTTTCAGGTACAATACACTTGACAATTTTTATACGAAGAGACCTTATATGGTTCTGCTCGTTACCTGAAGATGCTAGTCTCTCAGTCCGTCCGGGAACAGCATTTCGTACCAAGGGGGCTGTGGCGATATCGTTTGCGCTTTTTGGCTCCACTTTTCTCTTTGTAACCGCCCATTTGACGGCCCATCAGGAAAAAGTGAAAGAAAGATTGTCAGACATAAAAAGGATTATACGTTCAATAGATTTACCAAAGAATTTGCCTTGTCGGCATAGAAGTAAAGGTAAACTTTTGTTTATACAGTCGACTCTCGATAATAATTTGACACTCGTTAATTTGAATCTCTCGATAATTTGAATAAAATCAATAATAATTGGTCCCTTCGGTAATTTGAAGTTGAAAAAGTATTATCTTGCTCGCCAACATGCGATAATTTGAAATCCGGTCTTCTCTACTCTCTATAAATTGAAGCGTTTAACATGCACATACCTGTCGTTTGTTTACATACATGGGTGACAACTGACAAGTGACGATTGCTTTGCAGCTCTCACCACTATCGAAAATTCATTGGACAATGATAAACTGAAGTCACTCACTCAAAAAAAGATTACAGACTTCTTTTCGAAATAAAAATTTGTGAATTATTGTTAATACATAATAGGAATATAGAAATAATAAGTAACAAATTTTTATCAAATTCTTATTTCCTTCAGTCGTGGTTATTCAAACACTTGTTATTTTGAACTCTTGATAATTTGAAATTTATCTCTGGTCCCTTGAGTTTCAAATCATCGAGAGTCGACTGTAGTATATTTTAGAACAGTAATTTGAAAATTATTTAATTATGTCTGTAAAAATATAAGTTTTTGTGTTTCCTTTAATTGTACCTTGCCTATTAAAGCTAAATATATAGTATACCATTAGTTTTGTTTCTAATGTATTTTCGTATGAAAATTTTACTTTTGTCTGTTTCATACAATGTTGCTTGAACAGTTAATTTACCAAACATGTTATTCTGGGAGTGAATATAGAAATGTTTAAATGGGTTTCAGATATGTAATACGCATTTTTTTTCTTTGTTTGGTTTTTACTCGCGGGACTTATAGATTGAGCACTGGTTAACACGGCTGTTGAAAGATAGTATATTTATAGTAATATACCTCTTCTAATCATTAAAATAGACCTTTCTAGAATACTTACTTCCCTCGGCATTTAAAAGTTTAAAGTATTATTCGACTTGATCAAACTTATTTGAAAATTATTAATTTTTTTTAAGATTACTGCAATTAATCGTAAAAGCATAACTAACAAGTGACGTATTAATATTAAGAAATATATGGTGGTTTTTTTTTTAATTCAGATGTAACCAACAATTTTGATTATGTATTTTGGTGTGGGGACTTGAACTTCAGACTGGGTGAGCCGAGAGCAGCTGTTTTAAGATGGATCGAACAAACACAGGTAATATCTATTTCCATATTAACTTAAAAATAAAGTAAAGTTTATTTTCCCCATTGGGTATGAGGCATTACGGTTTCATTGATATTTATAATTATTTCAGTTTCCCCTCCCACCTCACTTACCCCACGGGCTATTACACGCAGATCAACTTACGGTCGTTTTGGAAGATGGAGCCGCTTTTAGGGACTTCAGAGAGGCGCCTATCAGATTTCCGCCTACGTATAAGGTAGTTTAACTAATGTGTTTTTTTTTTATAACAATAATAATCTTTATTCAAAATATGGTTGTGACAAAATTGATCTGAAATCTTTTATGCTTTAGTTTGACTCTTTTGTCATATTTGTCTATGGCTTCTCTGTGACTCATTCCTGGGGTCGTAGGTTTGAACCCTGTCTCTGCACCAATTTCATTCTATTTGCGCATTTAAATCTCGCTCGTACGCTGTAGTAAGGAAACCGGTATTTCTTATACCAAAAAATTTACGGGGTGTACCAAACATTTGCGTATTAGAAACAAATTCACGAAACAGAAAGAGAAAACTGAGTTCAGGACCAAGGGTTGTAGCGCCACTGTTCATGTCTAATTTAATGTAATAAATAGCTAATAAGATTCACAACTACAAATAGCTAATATGATTTTTATGTTCACCTTTCGTGTTGCCTAGAGCTACCGTTTTAAAGTCAGCTGTACCACAATGCTGTGATTATTATTATAATGTCTCTTGTTTTATATGAAATCAAATAAATTGTCAGTAAATAATGGTATATATCAAATTTATTTGATGATTATACATTCATTAATTTTTAATCACAATTTTACCCGTTGAAATCCTTAATTTTTTTAGTCAAGGAGTAAACGGGCTGGAGGCTCACCTGATGTTAAGTGGTATCGTCGCCCATGAACACTCACACTACTAAAAGGCTCGCAAGTGCGTTGCCGGACTTTTACGAATTGGTACGCACATGTTGAAGGAGCCTAAGTCAAAATGGTTCGGAAATAGTTCTAAGGCTACCCGTAGTGCTGGTGCGCAAAGTCGCTTAAAGTAATTATTATTTAAGTAAATTTAGCATTAAAAAGACAATTTTTTTACGTAATATTTCGGGTCTCTTTATGACTTTTATGTTTCATTGTAATAAATAAAAAAATGATAGGTAAAGATGTGAAAGAGAAGTACCTAAATTTGGGGTGAGGGGGGAGGGGGAGGGGGGAGAAGGGGTGTAGTAATCACCCCCCACAAGTTTTGGGTGTCGGAAACCAAAAAAAAAAAAAATTTTTTTTTTTTTTTACATTACTTAATCTGAAAATGATCGCAAGAAATCAGTGTCTAGTATATATGTAAAGCCAAGTTTTAAAAAATGATAATAAAATAACGCACATTCACGTAAAAAGTAACACAGGTTATTTTAAAAAAATATTAATATACTAACCTAAGATGTCCACTATTTTTAGACGCCATTCGCACACGAAATTTGAAAATGATCGCAAGAAATCAGTGTCTGTACTAGACATATATTACAGACAGTATATAAAGCCAAGTTTTAAAAAAATGCTAATAAAATAACGCACATTCACGCAAAAATAAAAAACCTAAAAAGTAACGGCTTTTTAACTTATAATTTGCACTTGATCACTGTGAACACACACTGTTCTGGCAAAATCCAAATTCGAAATGGCCGATTGCGTTTATACTTTAAACAATGAATAGTAGAGAATAGAGATGTGAAAAATAATCTATTCTGTGAAAGTGAAAAAATCGATTATTTTAGTATTCGATTTTAATCCGATTTTAAATCCGATTTTGTTTTCGATTTTGAGTTTCAGTTGAACAGTTATTTAAAAAAAATATTAATATACGGTTAGTATATTAATATTTATATAACCTAACCAATCTAAATAATATTTATTTTTGTGGACAGCTCCGATCTAAATAGTAATTGTTTATTCAAGCCTCGGCTTCTCGGCGTCCTGGTCGCCTTCGGCGACCAAATATTCATATACTAACTCTAACCTAACCAATCTAAATAATATTTTTTTTGTGAACAGCTCCGATCTAAATAGTAATTGTTTATTCAAGCCTCGGCTTCTCGGCGTCCTGGCCGCCTTCGGCGACCAAATATTCATATACTAACTCTAACCTAACCAATCTAAATAATATTTTTTTGTGAACAGCTCCGATCTAAATAGTAATTGTTTATTCAAGCCTCGGCTTCTCGGCGTCCTGGTCGCCTTCGGCGACCAAATATTCATATACTAACTCTAACCTAACCAATCTAAATAATATTTTTTTTGTGAACAGCTCCGATCTAAATAGTAATTGTTTATTCAAGCCTCGGCTTCTCGGCGTCCTGGTCGCCTTCGGCGACCAAATATTCATATACTAACTCTAACCTAACCAATCTAAATAATATTTTTTTTGTGAACAGCTCCGATCAAAATAGTAATTGTTTATTCAAGCCTCGGCTTCTCGGCGTCCTGGTCGCCTTCGGCGACCAAATATTCATATACTAACTCTAACCTAACCAATCTAAATAATATTTTTTTTGTGAACAGCTCCGATCTAAATAGTAATTGTTTATTCAAGCCTCGGCTTCTCGGCGTCCTGGTCGCCTTCGGCGACCAAATATTCATATACTAACTCTAACCTAACCAATCTAAATAATATTTTTTTTGTGAACAGCTCCGATCTAAATAGTAATTGTTTATTCAAGCCTCGGCTTCTCGGCGTCCTGGTCGCCTTCGGCGACCAAATATTCATATACTAACTCTAACCTAACCAATCTAAATAATATTTTTTTTGTGAACAGCTCCGATCAAAATAGTAATTGTTTATTCAAGCCTCGGCTTCTCGGCGTCCTGGTCGCCTTCGGCGACCAAATATTCATATACTAACTCTAACCTAACCAATCTAAATAATATTTTTTTTGTGAACAGCTCCGATCTAAATAGTAATTGTTTATTCAAGCCTCGGCTCCCGGCGTCCTGGTCGCCTTCGGCGACCAAATATTCATATACTAACTCTAACCTAACCAATCTAAATAATATTTTTTTTGTGAACAGCTCCGATCTAAATAGTAATTGTTTATTCAAGCCTCGGCTTCTCGGCGTCCTGGTCGCCTTCGGCGACCAAATATTCATATACTAACTCTAACCTAACCAATCTAAATAATATTTTTTTTGTGAACAGCTCCGATCTAAATAGTAATTGTTTATTCAAGCCTCGGCTTCTCGGCGTCCTGGTCGCCTTCGGCGACCAAATATTCATATACTAACTCTAACCTAACCAATCTAAATAATATTTTTTTTGTGAACAGCTCCGATCAAAATAGTAATTGTTTATTCAAGCCTCGGCTTCTCGGCGTCCTGGTCGCCTTCGGCGACCAAATATTCATATACTAACTCTAACCTAACCAATCTAAATAATATTTTTTTTGTGAACAGCTCCGATCTAAATAGTAATTGTTTATTCAAGCCTCGGCTTCTCGGCGTCCTGGTCGCCTTCGGCGACCAAATATTCATATACTAACTCTAACCTAACCAATCTAAATAATATTTTTTTTGTGAACAGCTCCGATCTAAATAGTAATTGTTTATTCAAGCCTCGGCTTCTCGGCGTCCTGGTCGCCTTCGGCGACCAAATATTCATATACTAACTCTAACCTAACCAATCTAAATAATATTTTTTTTGTGAACAGCTCCGATCAAAATAGTAATTGTTTATTCAAGCCTCGGCTTCTCGGCGTCCTGGTCGCCTTCGGCGACCAAATATTCATATACTAACTCTAACCTAACCAATCTAAATAATATTTTTTTTGTGAACAGCTCCGATCTAAATAGTAATTGTTTATTCAAGCCTCGGCTCCCGGCGTCCTGGTCGCCTTCGGCGACCAAATATTCATATACTAACTCTAACCTAACCAATCTAAATAATATTTTTTTTGTGAACAGCTCCGATCTAAATAGTAATTGTTTATTCAAGCCTCGGCTTCTCGGCGTCCTGGTCGCCTTCGGCGACCAAATATTCATATACTAACTCTAACCTAACCAATCTAAATAATATTTTTTTTGTGAACAGCTCCGATCTAAATAGTAATTGTTTATTCAAGCCTCGGCTTCTCGGCGTCCTGGTCGCCTTCGGCGACCAAATATTCATATACTAACTCTAACCTAACCAATCTAAATAATATTTGTTTTTGTGGACAGCTCCGGCGCTACGGGAAATGCAGCCCCTCCACCCTTGCGTACCAAAACACAGGCATTTTATTCAAGCGCGCGCTCTTCCTCCGCGCCTCCGATTATTTATATACACTCTAGGGGTAAGGCAGATAAGACCACGTGGATAGTGGGGTGCTCTGATTCGGTTTTGGGTACTATTTGAATAATTTAATAATTTTCGGAACCATACATTAATTAAAACATGAAGTTAATGTAATGTATGTACATTTCACAAGTAATGCTTAAATTAGGTTCAACTATAAAATTAACAAATGAGGAAATAATCGATTCGATTAGGTTCAACTTTAAAATTAACAAATGAGGAAATAATCGATTCGATTAGGTTCAACTTTAAAAATAACAAATGAGAAAATAATCGATCCAATTAATTTACCGAAAATGTCACATCACTTATAACCAATAGAAAACGACAATGACACATCACTTATAACCAATAGAAATCGAGAATGTCACATCTCTTATAACCAATAGAAATCGAGAAAGTCACATCTCTTATAACCAATAGAAATCGAGAATGTCACATCTCTTATAACCAATAGAAAAGTTTAGATAATGGCGGATTGTTTATAAATTTCAATACAATTCACAAAAGTTAAAAAATTTTTAAAAAAATACTTTGACGCCTATCCGAAAGCTAAAATCACTTGGAGGTGTTCCAATCAAGGGTCCCCGAGACTCCTGCACAATCAGTATCATCAAATTCAGGTGCCTTTGACTCAAACCCAACCCAAATGATATATAAATATATATATATATATATATATAATAAGGGAGGGAATAAATAAGGCGCAACTGCGTTTCTCTGTGAATATAAAAGATTTATTTACAAAAGAAATATCTATTAATTTACATTTAATAAAAAAATATATATTTACAAATTATTCACTCACCTGTGAATACAAAAGAAACAACATTTAAAGCCTATATTCTAGGATTATAAAATAAAATAATAAAATGAAAAAATTAAAACATCTTACATCTATTGTGTCAAGTGACAAATGAAACATCGTCGATCAGACAGCAAAGAAGAAAAATAAAATATAAAAAGAGTTTGTATAGGAAAATATATTTTCCTTATTTAATAGGTAATTATATTTCCAGTATGATCCGGGGAGTCAAAAGTTTGATACGTCAAGTAAGCAACGGGCACCGGCATACACGGACAGGATATTGTTCAAAGCAAAGTCTATGGCTGGAAATTCGTCGGCTGGTTTCGCAGGTACACTTACATCGTATATCTAAATTTATATTTTACCGCGAACTTTCCTTCGGCTTATAATTATTTTTTACTAAGCCTACCTTTTTCGTAAGTAGCCTGTTCGTAACATAGCTACGAAACCTTTATCTATTCTACACGATAGAGACTTCGCGGAATAAAAATCTGTGTACGAAATAAAACAAAAACTTTTTTTTAAATCCAATTTTCTCTCGATAAAAATCTCCCTCAGAGTTCAAGAAATATATAAAATAATTTACTCCAATTAATCCAGCAGTCTTCGAGTTTTGATTATATTTAAACATCTTCCTAAGTTTCTTCAAGTAGAAGAGAAATGATAGCCTATTTGAATTGGCTTAAGTGTGCGTATGTTTTCTTTTTATGTGCGCAAATAATACTTACGGCGAAGGAATCATTGAGAGAAATATAATCACTTACTCCCAAAATTGCGTGCCTCAAGTAGAGAAAGCTGATCACCTACTTCAAAAGTCTAAAATCAATTTTTCATTTTTCCTGTAGGTAACGTGAACGTCAAAAAAAGAAATATACATTAAATGCTTCTAATTTTACATTTACTGCCAGTTTTCAAATCAAGGGCGGAGAACGGAAGAGAAGAACTGGCAATAAACTCTCCGCCACTCTTTTCAATCGCCAAGTTTTTTGTTTTACACAACGTTTGTAAGGAGCTGCAACCATTACACCATGTTCCACATGACATCTTAAGTAATAAATAAAAATAAAATAAATTAAAAACAAAGATTTGTCCTCTATCAGCAGGAGGCATGGTGAAATAGGAGCACGCACTTACATTCTCGTGGGAACAACACGCCTATCTAGTCTAACCTAAAGGTGTTAGGGCCACTGGTTCATCTAAGGTTTAATGTTTTCCAGGTCTTCGACGCCTCAGTGCAATGCCAGTTACAGCTAGTTTGAAATGTATAGCATACAATTCCGTTCAATCAATATGCACAAGCGACCACAAACCTGTGTGGGGGCTATTCTCGGCTGCTCTTAGACCTGGCACTGATGTGTAAGTACAATATAAGTAACAACATAAATTAACTTCATCAATTCTTAGCATTAAAAATTATATAACACTAGCTGTTCCCTGCCACGCCTCGCTGTGACACATTGTGGTAGATAAAAACAATCCCTGATGCGGGGATTATATATATATATCATGCTAAAATTTCAGCTTAATCGGTGCAGAACTTTTTGAGATTTTGAAGTGTACACAGACCAACATTTAAAAAAGTGTGATTGGTTTCTGGTTTTCTGACAGTAAGATAAGTATGATCTTACAAGTACAATGCCATTTGTAGATAAAAACTAATGTACATTACATTGGAACATTTTATATGATGTATATGTCGCAGCCAACTAGCTTAGTTAGCCGTTCAATCAACAACCTATAGTCTGATTTTTCATTCCGTAGAATTCTGACATTTCATAAATGTTGCTACTAACAATGTTCTCCACCGAAAAAGGGACAAATTTGAGGATTTCAGGGCAATAAAAAATAAAATGCTACTTATTTTTATGTTTTACCTACAAAAAGGTAATATAAAATATTTACTTACTCAAATGATCTAATACCAAAATAACAAATATTTCAATATCACGAACAATATATCGAATTAACTTTAATTACTTAATTTTATTCTTAAGCTTGCATCACTGCGTACTAATTCCAGGTTTAGTAAACCTTTTTAAACAAAACCACTTTTAATGTGAGCACCGGACTTAATAAAATATACACATTCACTAACAAATAAAATGTATGTATAGATTCAGATGTTCAGACTCGTTTTGAAATTGAAAATGTGCCCGGCCAAAAAAGGTTTGTAATCTCTGATATGTCAAAAAATGATAGCTGTCAGAATTCTACGGAATAAAAAATCAGAGTATAGCCTCTTTACTAAATAGCGTTCAACTAGCGGCCTGAATGATATTCGTAGCAAGTCGTAGCATTTGTTACAACATTTAATAAACTGGCTGGCTATTCGATTAACCGATTTAAAAAACATGAATAAGACACGACAGTTTTATTTTTTTTGACAATTCACACCAATTGACCTAGTCCCATGCTAAGCTGGTGATGCTTGTGATATGGGTACTAGGCAACGTATATACATACATATTATAGATAGATAGACATATAAATACATATTTAAACACCCAAGACCTAAGGGGGCGTCCATAAATTACGTGAGGTGTTTTTTTAAATTTTCTGTACCTCCCTCCCCCCTGGTGAGATGTCGTGAGATTTTATTCAACCCCCTCCCCCATCCGCCAATCTCACGTGAGATTTTTCAAAATGTTCAAAAAAAAATTGCTTCATGCTTTTATTTACGACTAAAACAAAATAAGTGAAATGTTGAGCGTTTAGGTATGGAGTTAGCGGGAAGTTGCAGAGATGGCCTTTAGAGTCAACCGTTTTCCTAAGTTTTTTTTAATCAGAAAAAAAATTGCGTGATATTTGCCGAGACCCCCCTCTCTCCAACGTAAGATTAAATGAGATCTGACTCGACCCCTCCCCCCTTAAACACCTCACGTAATTAATGGACGCCCCCTAAGCACAACACCAAATGCTCATCACATCGATGTTCATCTCAGCCGGGGATCGAACCCGGGACCCATGGATTCGCAGTCAGGGGTACTAACCACTAGGCCAATGAGTCGCATGAATCATTGCATGAGCAATGAATAATTTTTTTAAATAAAACCCTGTAATTTTCAGAGTGCCCTTAGCAGCTGGTCTCTTCAATCGGGAAGTCTATCTCGAGGGAATCAAACGCCGACGGGCGCTTCTAGACCACGCCCCAGGTACTTCAGCAGTATGTTCCATACAGTGACATTTCATACGATATTTTATTGTACCTTACTTTTAGTATAATTTTTTTTAATGTGAAATAATTTAAATGACAGTACCTACATATATACAACTTAATTAATAATAATTATTATTTTCATATTTTATTTAATGTACCGTCGGGAAAGTACAGACCCTAAGTTTAGTTTTAACTGTGACTATATTTTTTGCTATCCTTCAACAGAACAAAAATGTGTTGCAAGATCTATATTTTTATACCAAAAAGACAATGCAGTCTATAAATAACAATAGACAAAAAATATTAATTTATTGAATGTACAATATTTATCTAGTCAATATTCAAGCTAACAGTATTAAATAAGCGTGAAAAAGTCATTAGTTTAATATTTATTTAAAAAATTATGGAATGGACATTTTAGTATGTAAATAATTTATTTTTAAACTCAGTTATGTCAGAGCAATTTGCTTGTCTATGGTTCTTGAGCAAAAAGTTTTTAGTAGATACAGATGTTATACACTTGCAACCAACATCAAATCAGGTATAAAGTTAAAACTATTGCCATAATATTAAAAAAAAATCAAATCAAGATAAATGTGAACTCTTTTACCCATAAGTTACATTTGAAAATGTCTATTCTCTGTCCCGCTCGTTTATTTGCAATGAGAAAAGGATAGAAATATCAGCTTACATCAGTATTAGTAGTATATTTTGATTTAATAATAGTATAATTGTAGGTTACGTTGCACTGAGTGTATCGCACTTAAGTTTGCCCTTGGCGTTAGTTAAAGCTAGGTTGTGATTTTTGTTGCTTAATTAAATAAGTTGCACTTACAGTGGCGTAACAATAGGGTCGTAGGGCTGGCAAAATGCCACGGGCCCCCGACCCAAGAGGGCCCCTGCCCAAGAGATATTATGTTCTATGGATGAATGTGAAGTCTCCAATACGCATTGGGCTAGCGTAGGAACAACAGACAATCTCGCCTAAGTGAGGAGACCTATTAGTGGGACATATACAACGCGTAATTGAGTAGGCTGAAAATCTCGACATTTATTTAAATTAAACGGAGTAGATACAACGTGACGATTTTCTACTTATAGGGGCCCATCAAAAAAATTTGCCACGGGCCCCAGATGGTATAGTTACGCCACTGTGCACTTATATTGTTGTTATTGCACGTTATAATTTTTCGTTGTTTAATTCGTCTTTCGCACAATTGCGCTTTGTTAACTTGGGATAAGATTGCGATATAGCGTCTGACTGCTGTATGTCAAAAATGTATTCGATTTTGACATATGGAAGTGATAATTCGGTCTGGATCTTGTTTTGAATCTTAGGTACATATTCTAATTCGTCAGAATTTCGTCTTAAGGGTTGCCGGCTTTTGAAACTAGATTTAACTTGGATTGAGGTTCTAGAATACGTTAACCCTACAGATTGGATGGGTCATTCTGTTTTATTTTGAACTAAAAACCATTGCATAGCGGGTCTTTTTATCGTGACAACATTAAATACATTTGTTATTATTATATATTCAATATATGGACAGATAAATATGATTTAAATTAGAAGTTTTTTGCCCTAATCAAAGTAGGTATTCATTCTGTTTTTATATTTTTGTCTCTAACAGTATTAGTACAATTTTTTTTTCGGTATTTACTTTTAATATTTTGGACTTAAGTCAATATCAAATATCTTTTCTATGAAATAGTAAAAGAAAATATATTTCCGATGTATGACTTTAATCTATTGTCTTTGCGTAACAAGAGACAACTATAAGGTGACATGAAAGATAATGAATATTTACGTCCAATACTTATCATCTTTTGTGGCGCGTTTAGTATATTTAAAAAAAGAACATGTCGGCATTCACTTGTTTTCGTATAATTTTTTTTCCGAATCTGGATTAAAGTTAGTACTGTGTTTGTTACCATGGTTACGATTTTATTCATATTAAATTGGTCACTTCAGTTAAATATTATTTTCATCGACTACACGAAAACTATTGTTTGTATCGTAAAACTCTAGATGCACTTGCATGCTATATAACCCATCGTTGCTGTTTCAAATAGTTACGTTTTCTAGTGAATTTCTATTCATAGTATATATATGCGATAGTCTTCTTCAGTGAAACTTATACCCCTTAGGATTAAGTACTTATAAGTACTTACAAAATTTAGGTATTGCGTTTCGTTAAAATAAATGCATACCAAAAGTATTCTAGTCTTATTCATTCCAAATAGGTTTTAGATTTGTATGGGACCTTAAATTAGGCGTAGAATATTTCTATGTGATGTAGCTATAGGCAAAAAATATCGATATATTCTTACGGCCGCATACTTAAAAATATGTCAAATATTTAATAAACAAGGTGATTCACTATTTTTGACACTGACAACTCACAAGTCTACTATTGACAGTATTTGTACAAGGACTTGAGGCATTTCCTTTGCTTACAAATTTCTTTAGCGGTAGTGGGTCACGCCAGTCGCAAAGTGATTTTGTTTCTACCCACTGTTTATTAGAAAAACGTCGTAGTCCAAAACATAACGTGAACATGTCAATCCCTTGTCAATGTCAAATGTCACAGATTGGTATTGGCCTGTACCAAGAACTTTATAGCAAAATTGATTAATTATTCCAATTCTTGGTAGATTCGGCAATCAAAATTGTGTCTTTAATGCTGTGTAATAAGATGCATGTTACAATTTTGATGTATAGATGCTTTAAAATTTATTGCCCACATGCCATAGGGCCTCAGGAAATGTTAAGTAAGTGGAAAATGTATATGAATAAATATCTTAAACTTAGCATTGAAGTACATTAAATTATTCATTGTATTTTCTATTATATAAAAAATATGGTATGGATTTGTTCTGTACAAATGTGGATTTTTGAAGAGCTTGAGTGTTATTTATTAAATGCGATGTTGGAATTTAAAAAGATACATTTTAATTCACTATTTAGCTTCATTTTAAGAAGCTTTATTTGTCATTTAGAAGTAAGATTCATAGACAAGTTTTCAAAATAATCTATGTACGTTTCTGTTATATGTAACCTGTAACCTAAACTTATTCATAGACACTAAATGAGTCTTGTGATAATCTGTGCGGAAAAAGAACTGTCGTGGGAATACAAGACCAGGAGAAAATATTAATTTTTCATGTTAAAATAACTTTTCGTTATGTTGACAATACAGCTACGTTATGCTAGTATCCGGATTTTTATAATGAAAAGGAAAAATAATTGTGAATAAAAGTAATGTCGCGAAGCAAATAAGATTTATATTAGTTCGCATAACTGCCAGATTAGTTATCTTTCCGCACAGACTACGTTTTAAATAAACCTCACTCTGGCCTCTTCGTATTCACAGCGTACATAGGTTTATTTTAGAATGAGATAAAACACTACTTTAGTTGTGTAGTGATTGTTATGAATTGGTAGATAGCATTCAACAACCATTACAACATAAATAATTTTTATATAAATAAGGTTTACAATAACATGTTTATACTTAAATAAAAGTCGACTAAATGAAAATTATGTAGCCCTAAAAAGACATTAAACATTTGCCAAAAATGTGTCAATTATCTTTATTACCATACATCTGTCATGAAGAAAAACTTAAATATACTAGACTCATTAAGAAAGTCGTATAACATGTATTCATAAATTTTGAGTTTGATCATGGTATCGATGTCCGTCGTTCCACTACTGAGCGTTTCTTAAGGCAGTTATTGCCGCGCATCACCACTATGTAGAGCTACCCGAAGTATTTCCGAACCAATTCGACTGAGGGTCCTTCAAGAAAAGAGCGTACCAATTCTTGAAAGGCCGGCAGTGCACTTGCGAGCCTTCTGGCAGTGTGAGTGTCCATGGGCGGCGGTATCACTTAACATCAGGTGAACCTCCTGTCCGTTTGCCTCGTGCAAGTCAAATAGTATGATAAACTTTACCTCTTGGTGGTTATGCGCGAAAACCTATTTCTTATATAAATATTTCACAGTCACGTATTTTACGCTGACGTTTAATACTCTGACAAACTCTTAGTACCTACTCTTGTGACTTTAGTATATTTAAAATTATTCATACTTTTATACTTTATACTATGTATAAAATAGATCGATTTAAGATTTGACAGTGTACTAGAAAGTTAGAATGTGCGTGGAGTTGTAATTTTAACCGATGGTCCGATTTGATCAAATTTCTTATTACCATACTCTTTAGACAATTATATATTGCGACCCACGATCCTATCATTTTTTTCAGTAACATTATTTCATATATATATTCGAATGGCCCACGGTAGGTAATACATACCGCAAAGTATATTTGTCTAGGGCTTCTAGTGAGGTTTTTAATAAGCGGTACGTTTTAAATTCAAAATATGTAATTTGAAAAACTTAAATGGACCAACCTAATCCTGTTTTGTTAAATACCAGAGAAAAAAAAAGGGTGCGTGTACTTATGTACGCGCGTAAGAAGTTATACTTCTTTGGCATTATTAAAAATAGTTTTTGATTGCATGCAAATAATTAATTACAATTAAATAATCAAAGACTGGAAAAGGAGTCATTATAGTCAATTAAGTTCAGTTTACATTTGAAAAATTAAATAAATAATTATTTATTATTATTCTCTTACATTAAGTGTAACATAAATTCTATTTAGTTAAAAGTATATATAATTATATATTTAGAACATCTCTACCAAACACTAAGAAGTATGTTGTAGCTTTGGCAGTATTGCACAATCTAAAATTAATAAATGTCTTTGAAAAATTAATCAAAACTCCTTTATTTGTTTAAAAGGTAAATGACAAATGTCATTATGGTCATTCAAAATTCTTGGCATACGAACTTCACGCATATTCTATTTCTTTTTACTTGTAGATTGTCTTATTCCTATCTCGCTCGCGCACGCTATAATCACACTCCGAATTTTGTGTCACAGGTGCGCGCGCATCGTAAAATTTCACTCTCATAAATTTTTTGCATAACGCGCCTAAAGAAGTATAACTTCAAAAATATACATCCTATCACTATTGGCAGTTTTTCAAATCATACGTCTTCCACAAGGAATTCATACTTTTAACAAGATATTTATAAGGTCTATGACCGCTTTACTAGTGTATTAAATGTTTCAAAGGTAATTAAATTCTTTCAAAGTGTTGTTCGTATATAGAAAATAAATATACATGGATAAATTATCGTATTTTTACGACCTAAATCGCAAAAAAAGTTTAAATATCTGTTTATCTTTACAAAATATTGTAATGTTCTTTTCACAAAATTAGGAATTGTTTTGCACCTTTCATGGTCTATCCTACATTCCCTTTTGAATAGAAAAATGATCAGTTCGATCACGACGAAAAGTACTATTGTCTATGGCCCATCGTAATCTAATGGAATAGACAATGATATTTATACATGACGGCCACAATTCCCGGATAAGTTATGGGGCTGTTCCACTTTCTTAGCACACTAGATTAATCTATTTTTGTTATGTACCTTTCAAAGTTAGTATACGTAGCTAATCTATGAAGTATGTAATGATAAATATAACTATGTGGATATTATTTCAATTGTTAATTGATGTTGAGCTGTGGCTACCAAAGAGAATAAGTTGCCATGGTAACCAAGGAATGTTGTGTCGTTGTCTCTGTCTATAGATATTTGCGTTCTCTATCTTTGTGATAGAGAGAGTAATAAATTAGTTACTCCGTCTATGCGTACATGGCTATTTCATGTAATCGCTTTTGACATATTTTCAAATAGGAGAAAGAAATATATTTTTAAATACCTATTCCCTACTATAGCATATTTTATAAGCAATGTTGTGAGCATACTAGTCCATTATTACTAATAAGTTGTTTCAATTTAATGTTTCGCTGAAATAAACTTTTGATGCTGTAAATTTGTTTTATTTCTTACGAACGAATCTTAAATTCAGGGACGAGAATTTGCGATAAGTCGACTTCTATACGTAAAAAGAGTATTGGATTTTGACAAACGGGACTCGTAGTTCGAGCTAATTCTCATTTCTGTGTTTTACCCTTACTTTTGAACAAAGTAATATCTGTCGAGGTATGAATTTTTGTACCAAATTTTTTTTTAAGGAAAATATGTCTATACAAATACATTCAGTTCTTAATAAGACATTTATTGTTAATCTCTTTATTTTGGTACGACATTATTGTAATGCCATTCAACACAAGCGCGGCCAGTCAATCCGTTTACTTCTACATCACACCATTTCTCATAAAATTTCGCTTCCCTGTCTTTTCCAATGTAAAAACTCACTTCATCCTTATCTTGTATTTTTACGGCGTAAGATACGCCACCTAAAACAGTAAAAATATAAAAACCCATATGACAGATGGTTTATGAAAATAGTTCAAGTCGAGTCGTTACATTATATACTACTGTCGATTGTCATTAATCTAATTCTGTATTGTCATGTCATAAAGTCCTCCTGAATGAGAAATAAGTCCACATTGTCAATGTCAAAATAAAGAAAACGGGATTCCGTCAGGTAGGCTCAAATTATTACACGTAAGAATGGCACCAAAATTTAGAAAATGTCGCGCGTGTGGTAATTGCCATAGATATACAAATCTTAAATTTAAAACGAAGCATAATATCCATAGTCTTTTGGCATATATAGGAATGGTTTAGTTTAAATTTGCTGTAAAAACTTTGAGAAATAAAGTCAAAAATTATTTCAAAGATATACTATCCCCAATTTCACTATAAGAAGTATTCGACAAGCAAAACTGAATTCAAGAAATCGCTCCTTCATTACATTTTATATCCAATATCATTATTTATTTGGTACTGTTTTGCTACCTGCTTCAAAGCTAAATCCATAATCCTTGGGAATTATCTGATTTTCTGCATGTTGATATAACTGGAAATCGGAAGAGTCGATAGCTGTCATAGAGTGGTTCCCCTTAGAGTAATAATAGCCAATAGTAAGACTGGAAAAGACAAGATTATTTTTTAACTTGGTAATAAATTTTTTCGGACTGCAACTAGCTGTCATTATTGCTTTCATATATTCCAAACCTGGCAAAGAATAATATGTATAAAATAATTTCTAGAAAAGTGCAACTGACTCCAGAAGGTTAATCGGTTAAAGGTAGGAAAGGTACATTTAAAAAGGACACGGTTGAATTTTATTCGACCATTTCAATATATAGAAAAGGTAAAATTTTAAGAGATTAAACGTGACGAATAGATAATTATTGACTTATTAGAAACTTCAACAGTTTATGCGTAAGATTACTAAAAATGTTTTCTCTTAGATTGCATCCATATCATTTATACAGCTGTATAGATATTGGCACTGTAAAGAAATAATAGGAATACTTACTGCGATAAAATACTCGGCTGTGAAACACTTCCGGCAGCGATAAAGTCGCCGTTATCGAGAAATATGAAGTGATACACGTATCGGTGAAAGTTACGCCATTCACGTAATGTTCCTGTATTAACATAAACATACTTTGAAATACATTTATTAAGTAAATAAAGTTTTTATTATTATTTAAATCCTCTCATTGTATCCGGAATTCTGAATTCCTACAGAAAACAAAATAGAAGCCATTACAAATCCATTAAGTGGAACGCACATTTACTGTAATATTTAAAGTCAAATAATCATCTCTATTTATTTATTTACACTTCGTTGCTAATAACATAAGAAACACAATACATAAAAATTATAAGGGATGCAACGGGCGGCCTTATCGCTAATAAGCGATCTCTTCCAGGCAACCCTAGTTAAGAGAAAAACTAAAAAAACAAATCTATCATTCTGTATTGATCAATATAAAGTTGATGCACATTTCTAGATATATTTACTTATAGGTACTGCGTCAGTGAACTAACTGACAATGAAGCTTAAGGGTATAAGTTCATGAACCTCTAAAAGTTAAGAGGACCCATATTATAAAACACGAAGCTCTCTAGGAAAGCTTATTATAGGATTCGGATTGCCTAGAAGATAAGGCAGCTTGGAATAAAAATAATTTGCTCTTTAATTTAACCGTAACTAATCAATAAATTATTTACTATAAGCATTGTAAATAACTTAAGACGATAAAAAAAACTAGCCGAGGTTATTGCCTTTCTCCTGGTGTGCTGGTCGCGATTCCGAACAGGCGGTAGAGTTGACAATAATTCAACGAATTTTCGTTTATTCAGTTGAATCACATTCATTCAATCATCACGAAAATTCGTAATTCAAGTAATATTGTATTTAGCGCCAAATATGTCAAATTCAAAACGGAAAAAATGGTTTGATACATGTTAAAACTAAATTTTAGTTTAAATGACGTGCTAAACGGGCCTGAATGCTTGTCATTGCCTTGCCTTGGTCACGCCAGTCGAAAAGTGATTGTCTCCACCCCCGTGGGGTTGTTAAATATATTTTTATGGACTAATTACTTACCAAAACTGTGGTCCCTCACACAAGGCATGTGAATTTCATGTTTTTTTTGGTTGACTATTACAGTGCCAGCCATGTAACCCACTTGTTCGTAATGCGTTTGATGGTATCTTTAATAAAAAATAACAACTTTCTTTCACGGATTAGCTAAGAAGGTTCGATAGGATTTTACGTCGCTTCGACTGAGCCGAAATGTTTATTAACACAATATGACTGTGTATTAATAAACTATTTAGACGTTTTTTAATATTATAAAGCTACTGACTGTCAGTTTTTTGGTGATACGCGGTAATCTCAATATAATAGGTCCTTACATATGAAATTGGCGTATTTCGTACTGGCCACTTTAATCACGATTCTCCTCTTTGGTAAGGAATTCCAAATTCAAATTTGTACAGCTATTTACTCATGTATTTGTGCTTCGATGACCGTCATTCATTTGTTTTTTTCTGTTTGCGTCACTCATTTAAAGTGCCCTGTAAACGATCAAATTGTTTGTCAAACTTCACGTTTTCATCAAACAATAGCTTAAACGATCAAACCAAATATCAAACAAATTTGTTAACTTTCTAGTAGATTCGGGTTTCTCCTTTCGTGACGTGACGTCGCCGTGCCGAGCACTTACAATTATGTATTACAATGAGTAATTCAGATGACGCATTTTTGGCATTGACTCTAGCACTCCATCCTCGTATTGTAAAAAAGGACACAGTTATGCGGAAATCTATACCAGCTTCTCAAAGGTTATCAATAACTTTGAGGTACCTGGCTAGCGGCGATGATTTCGAAGACTTAAAATTTCAAGCCTGCGTTGCACCTCGAACATTGAGCAACATTACCATTGAAACTTGTGAAGCAATAAATGAAACACTATTCAACAATATTCAGTTAGGTTTTATTTAATAAATAAAATAAAAAGCCTTTTATTTCTTGCTAAAAGATATACAAAATAACATAGGTTTACTAAAAAGAAAAAAAAATCAGGATAAACAGATATGAAATGCAACATAAATTCTTTGTTAGTAATATTGACACTCATATTGTCACTGAGCGTAGCGTCCTCCATGATGTCAATACAACGAGTGAGATCTTGTTTCAAACTCGACATCAATCCAGATTTTCATCAAACACGACAAACACGTAGATTGTTTGACAAACGCCTCAAACACAGCAGTACACTATCAAATAATATGACAAACACGTAAAATTTGACAAACAATTTGATCGTTTACAGGGCACTTTACAAAATGGAAAACTTAAAGTATCGCATTATTTACGAGTACGAGTTCCGCCGTGGTACTAGTGCTGCGGAAACGACTCGAAGGGTGAATGATGTGTACGGCGCTCATGTTGCAAAAGAAAACACAGTTCGTTTTTGGTTCCAACGTTTTCGTTCTGGAAATTTCGACCTGCAGAACAAGCCCCGTGGACGGCCTGAGACCCAAGTTGATAATGAAGTATTGAAGGCTATTGTGGAAGCGGATCCATCGCAAACCACGTCCGAGTTAGCTGCAGGCTCCGGTGTTAGTGATAAAACTGTTTTAATTCACTTGAAGCAAATTGGGAAGATTAAAAAGCTTGAAAGATGGGTACCTCACGAATTGACTGAAGCAAACCGGCAAACGCGCGTCGACTGCTGCGTTACATTACTGAACCGGCACAATAATGAAGGTATTTTAAACCGAATCATTACCTGTGATGAAAAATGGATTCTTTACGATAATCGGAAGCGCTTAGTGCAATGGTTGGATCCTGGCCAGCCAGCCAAATCCTGCCCCAAGCAAAAATTAACCCCAAAAAAGTTACTTGTAAGCGTTTGGTGGACTAGTGCCGGTATAGTTCATTGCAGTTTTCTCAAATCTGGCCAGACTATATCAGCAATTGCAAACCATGATGGAAAACTAACGGCTAAACAACCTAGGCTAGTCAATCGCTCCACGCCACTGCTACTTCACGACAACGCTAGACAACACACTGCACAACAGACGGCTACCAAATTAGAAGAGCTTCAATTGGAATGTCTAAGACATCCTCCGTACTCCCCGGACCTGGCTCCAACAGATTACCATTTTTTTCGAAATTTGGACAACTTCTTGCAAGGGAAAAAATTTTACTCTGATGGGGCAGTCCAAATCGCCTTCACAGATTTTATTGATTCCCGTCCGACTAGTTTTTTTAGTAAAGGGATCAATGAACTACCTGTGAGATGGCAAAAGTGCATAGAAAACTTTGATTAATTAAATATCTATATTATATTTAAAAATATTCGACTTTTTGTTCCTCCCATACAAAACGCCAATTTCATATGTAAGGACCTAATATAATAATATTTGTAACACATAATTTATTTCAATATACCTACTTCTTGAGCAATTTAAAGTAATCAGCTGACCAGTATTCCCTCGCCATATCGTTAGCCATACTCCAAGCAGACATCTGTATGTCAAAGTTGAATGGATTCGAGGAAGCACTCCAAGTTAAGTTCGCTTCTACCTTTATCTTAGTTTCGTCGCCACGACGCCTGAAATAATAATATACCTATATTTAATTATTTAAAATAATGTTTTTAGTTAAGCGTTAACAAACTACAAATAATTTGGTCGGAGCTATTATAGTCAAATTTCTTTTAGAAGACTACTACTATCAGGCCTACGAAACAAAAATGTTGCCTACGTACGTGACTATCAATGAAAACTTTTTACATGTTTTATGCTTCGAAATGTTTGCCGTCTATTGTTAATAACAGATAGAACAAATGCCAGAATAAAACAATTATTACTTCGATCAAAATCAGAACCCCAGGTTGACTTAGATATATTTTAAAGTAATATATAGTTGAATACGAAGCTAGTTTTCATCTGTTTATGCAATTTCAGCAATTTTATAAATTTTACGAACCCAGTCGAGTCGTCGAGAAAGACAAATGGTACTTTTAGTAGGTACGATTGTATGCAAACAAATTGTGTCACGTTCATAAACGTACTACGAATAAAAGGAAATGCTTGTCCTTATCGCGCCGAATTTAAATAAGCGAGACAAAACATTTAACAAATTAAAGCTTACGTAGATACATTTATAATTTTTAGCAAATTTTTGATAAAAAACTTACTTCATTTCGCCGTTGTATTTCAATTTCCAAGTTCGCATCGGTACAAAGTTCGTTATTGTTAAGCCTTGTATATCATAACCTTCATCATCTTCGCTTGATTTCTTTAAATGTGTATCTGGAAGACTTGGAGTTAACAGTACATCTTCTCCGAGCTGTGTATTAAAATAATATACAGATTATCATACATTAGCATTTTTCCGCGCATGGCAGTGGTGAACACGGTGTTAAAGCGTGAGCGCCTCAACCCTAAAGTTGTGCGGTTGAAACGACTAAAGGAAAATAAATATTTGAATTTATACATAAGTATTTATAAAATTTATCTCAACTATGAATTTACAATGGTAATTGTTAAAAGAGGTTGCTAAGTAAAATAAATTAATTAATTGTGTATCAAGGACGTTCCACTTCTGGTTGAAAGCTTTCCTTAATAGAATTTGAATTCAGTTGTCAAATATATGATCTAATAAAATTACTATTTTACTGATACGAATCTTAAATCTTAATACGAAGCTATCGTCTTTGTCGTAGAATAGTGACAAGTGTTGAAATGGTTGCCCTGTAAACTTTACAGGGCAACCATTTACAGCAAAACCATTTCCAGTGATCATGTTAGTTTTTTTGTCATAATTTTTTTAATTCATATTATTGATATGATATAAAATAAATAAATAAATATTCTATAATCATGAAAATTGGCATACAAGCAAACAATAGGGTTTCTTTTGAAACAAAATAAAAATAATAAAATTAAATTACACAGTTTTCTAGAAATATCTATGAGCGTCTATCAAATCCGTCACTTGACCGACTTATTAATTTGAAATTTAAAACATGTTTTTTTTAAATGTAGCCGTAATATTTAGTCAATGCATCCAAATATAATAAAAAGGGCTACAATCACTGCGATATAGATGTCGACAGTAGCCACTGGGACCTTCGGACGTATACAGCCATGTTAGGGCGTTGTTCACATAATTATAAGCCTAGATAGGCTTACAAGTTTTCTTCGTTTTGATTACAATTTATTTACCACTCACCCCTCATTCATAAACAATTTATTGTTATAATAATAACAGTTAAGATATTAAAACGACAATCGGTTATTAAACCAAAGACAGTTTACGATACTTTACGACTTGAAGGAAGAATATGCATTTAAATTACCTTAAGGTATAAGAAGGCGTCACAAGAACGTTGAGGCCGTCTTGCCAACCCACAAATCAGAGCCTCACCCGTCTCTGACATTCCATTGAAGTAGACCCCATCAACTGACTGAAACCAAACATCATTATTTACTTAATGAGAAAGCCCACAGAAGCTACTTTGCAATTACAGTATACAATAAAAAAGTATAACACTACAGCGGAGCCCTAATTACGGTCAACATTCGAAATCTATTAAACTAGCTAAATTCATAAAATTATTATAATTGCGTATAATCCAAAACTGAAATTAATCTTGATATTTAACGAAGACAAAGTATTACTTATCTTATTTGACATTATAAAACTGGGTACAGAAAATCGTTACGGCGCGTTACATGGGGGGGCGGGGGTCAATAATCTCCAAAAATTGCGTGACGTAATACTTGAACTCTCCCTTATGGGACGTATATCAAAATTCAAAAGGTACGTTTTTGACATACCGGAGCCTCGTTTCGGAATAGACCCTAAGATTACCCCGTAAGACACCGTTATTTTGTATAATTTTTACCCTTAGTAAGAATAACTTACCTTAGGATAATCACCTAAATCATAACATTTTTCAATGCTCACGTCATGGTCTTGAACGTGTATTTCGCCTTCACTCCTTAATTCAGTCGGTAGTCGCGTCAGATAAACTTTTAACTAAAAAAATATTGAGGTTATTTGTGATAAGAATATTGATTCATTGCATAATCCCATTATTACGCTATTATAGGTGACTATTTTTACTTATTTAACCTACTATTAATAGTAGGTATATATATACACGACATGGGAAATAGAAACCGTGAATTTGTTTTTGCTTGCGACTTCATTCACATAATATAAAAGAGGTAACAAACCGAGGCGGATAAACAAAAGTGTTGAGCTCCAATAAAACAATAATTTTATAAAATGTAAGTGTTCTCAGTCGAATAAAAATAAATTATTAACCAAGTAACGAATGTAAGAAAATTTTCACCGAAAATTCATTGATTATTTGACTAAATCTCGTTCCTAAAGTAAATCACTTTTAATGGTCAAGAGAGAAAGTTATGATAGAAGGTTTTTTCTAAGCTTTCTTTCGTGGGAGCTCCGGGGCTGTAGCCCTGGTTTATTTCCATTAAAACTGGCCTTGATTTTAAGCATACATAAGTACCGTGTAATGTCTTTATTACGTCATTCGTTAAAAAGAAAGCCGTATAAAGTAAAAATGATTTAAATTTATTTGGTTTAACCCAATACCCAAACATTTATTCTTCTCACCCTATAACGAAACCTCTCTATAACGTATAAAAATATTCGGTCCCTTGAAATTGGTTATAAAGAGTTTACACTGTATGTACAAAACGTTCTAAATTTATTAATTCCACAAATTTTTAGATCTTGTTTATTCACATCTAATACAAATTTAATTTTGTCACTTACCTGCCTTAATTTTAATACAAAATACATGAATATAAACTTAAGCCAATAAGTTTTATTTTTCTGTTGATAAATCCCAAAAATCGCCGGTTTGTTTTTCGTATTTATGAAACGAACTACAACAAAAAGTACTGGTATAATACAAAATATTAGATATATCATTTTTGATGTGCTCTCTATCAGATATCGTTAACTACTGAATAATTAAAAATACTTAAACAATTATCTTATCATTTTTAACTGGAAGTGACCTTTAGATTCAACGGCTAAAGTTATTCAATCAGAAGGCAGATACTAAATTATACTTACACAATTTATTATCACACGTAGGTATTTTTTATTAACTTTTGAATAAATTATATGTTACTTCCAATTTTTAATTAGATAAAAATCATTCCAAGACACGTGAGATACAACTAAGACGCCTAAACTTATATAATTTATTAATATCACATTACTTTGTATTGGACAGGCTTGGACCTGGGCTTATTATTAATACTCCGAAAAAGTCGGGATTCATTTGTGTATTGTATAACTATCGATACTTTACCGGTATTTTAGGAACCTTTTCAATCCCTACTGTAAACAATATTTAAACGATCCTAGTGCTTGGATATGAATTGCTCCAATATAAAGAGGTAACGCGACTGACTCTCTTGGCTCTATTTCCAGACTCTGGGGCGATCGTCAACATCCACGACTGTTTTAATGTAAAGTAGGAACAAACCGTGATCCATGTGGTATCAAATGATTTCAGTATAATTAGTATTATTTTCTTATGTAGCCAAGTTCACATTTCAAGGATCGTCATTCTCGCTTAAATTTCATTGCTTGTCGCGGCATTCATGCGTCGGGTTATCTCTCTCCCTAAAATATGGCGAGGGAGCCGATGGCTGGCCATGCGTCATACTCGTGAACGGGTGCTACTTGTGGTGACTGGTCGTACTTGAATTCGTGTATGATGGTGATGTTAGTTATTTCGACTATGTATTTGCGTGTTGTTCCCACGAGAATGTAAGTGTGTACTCCCATTTCCCCATGCCTTCTGCTGTTAGAGGAAAAATCTTTATATATATATATATATATATATATTAATTACTTAAGATTAGGGATGCATCCGATACCGATATATCGGCGATACTTTGGGTTTGCCGATATATCGGCATCGGCGATATTTTCATTGCCGATTCACCGATACTTTTCAAATTTCATGCTTAGCGCATTTGGCTTTTAACTGCTATCGCGAGTAGTATTTTTTCGATACCAAATTTAATAAAATACAGAATTACAACAATGTTATCATTGTTAATTTTAATTATTAACAGTTATTTATTTTATGTTAATTTAATTTTTACTCTTAATTCTTAGTTTTAGTAACAAAACCTTTCAAATTATTCAATTTTTTTTTTATAAAAATTATAAACTTTAACTTAACTTGATATATTTTACCTTAATTTAATTTTAATTCAATTAGCATTAGTATCGGTATCGACGATATTCCTATAAGTGTATCGGCATCGGTATCGTATCGGCAAAAAAGTAGGGATGTGAAAAAATAATCGATTATTAAAAAAATCGATTTTAATAGATTTTTTAAAAAGTAAAAATCGTATTTTTTACGCGATTTTTATATTTAAAATAATCGATTATTTTTATAATTGAAAATCAATCATAGTCGATTTTTTATCTGCCACCTCCCGACATTATGTCTGGTCTTTTATAACCCGGACCTCGAACTATTAGGGAGTATCGATATACAACGATGTTTACAATGCGATACATTGAATCCGATTCCTTGAAGATGTATTGATATACTCGATGCATTGATGTTTTTTTGTAAAACATCGAAAGGATGATAAAACCAGTGAATTTTACAAAAACTCGAGTTTGATTGGAACACTATAATTTAAAAGTAAAATAAATTTATTCAGCAGCACAAGATTAAATACAATTAAAAAGACAACAAAAATACTGCAATGTGCTTCTGAAAAGGCATACACTCAGCATTTATCAAATTTCACCTAAAATCTATCAAAACGAGATTAAGTTAATTTCGATTTTGATTATTCTTAAACGTTAATTTGTGTTTATAATTTTTATTGTTTATTTATAATTAAAAAAAAATGAAAAATAAAATATTTAGGGAGATTATTTTGAAATTAATTCAAAAATTAGGAAAAAATCGATTATTTTTTTAAGAAAAATCGATTATTTGTTAATCGATTATTTTTTTAGCATGAAAAATCGATTAACAAATAATCGATTTTTCTTAAAAAAATATATAAAAAATTGGATTTTTATGCAGAATGTCACATCCCTACAAAAAAGCGTATCGATGCATCCCTACTTAAGATGTCTTGTGGATCATGAGGATTCTTGGTTATGGTTGCAGCACCTTCCTTTCTCCACAGCTTATTTCTTAATATTATTAAACTGAAGATCGAAATATTTTAAATATTATTTATTTATTTTTTATTTGACGAAATAAAACTCTTATTAATATATGAAATATGTATTTCTAGACTTAAATAAAATTTATTCAACCGTGGCCAACAAATGTTTATGAACACATTCTTCCTTGTTGATGAGATGCGTTGTCTTGTTCACCAGTTGCATCAACGTATTTAAGTTCGACGACCACTCATTCAGTCGGTCGGAGGAGTCCATATTTAATCTGAAATATATAAAAAACATTAAACAGTCCCCTCAATAGAGCATGGGGCAGATAGTTCTGCGTCTTTTATTGCTATTTTTGCTAGTATAAAGTCACTTAATAAATACTAGTGCCGCTACAACCTTTGTTCTTGGCCTTAGCTGTTAAGGCGAGTGACCACCTACTTTCTGCCTGATACATGCCCTCGACTATTTAGGTCTAATGCAGGTTTCCTCACGATGTTTTTTATCACAATACGAGCATTCGAAAGTCGGTGCACAGCCGGGTTCGAACCTATGACTTCAAGGATGAGAGTCGCTACGCCAACACTGCTCTCGTTATATTTTTTTTTACAAAATATATGTTGACTAGAACGCATTGATATTATATACAATACAAATTCTATTCAAACGATAGAATGTTTAAGCTTATTAGTTCCAAATACGTCCACGAAGCGCAGCTCAATTTCCCATAAAAAATCGTTACTAGAGTCTGGCTAATGAAAGAAGATAATGAAAAGCGCGCCAAATTCAAAAAAATTTAGTATGGTATCCCTAAAAGTTTGATATATTTTGTGGATTAATTTTACTTTATACTTGATTTTATTTTATTATTTTTTACATTGATAGTAACTGTATTTCTATGAAATTAAATACTATACGTATTTAGTCTTTTACTATTGATACTTAAAATGACTAGCATTGCATGGAAAACTAAAACTATATCTTTATATATATAATTCTTCTGTGAGTGTGTATGTCACTGAACTTCTCTCAAACGACTGGACCGATTTTGATGAAATTTTTTGTGTGTGTTCAAGGGGATCTGGGAATGGTTTAGATTCACATCTCAATCAGCCGGGCAGATGGCACTGCAGTCGGTACTTTCATACTTTGCTTAATATCCTAATCGCTTTAAATATCATGCAGGACAACGTCTGTGGGGTCCACTAGTTTACTATAAAACACAACTTTATTCGGAATAATCAAATCCTGCGAAAGAAACGAAATATTCTATCAAATAAAACAAAGTTTAGGCTATTATAGAAAAAAATATATAACAGAAATAAAAATGAGTAATTGCATGAAGTAACAAGACAATAAATCATACTAACCTAAGAAATTCAATGACATTCTGTGTTGCCATCCGAAAGTTTTCAAATAATTATTCAATTATCTTCTTTCATTAGCCACACTATTCGATTTTACCTATTCAACTATAAAAATCAATCTCACCTGAAATGAACAACACCCGCTGGTCGATCAATCTTGGCTCTTACAACGCTGCTAACGACCAATTGGCTCAGAGCCTCTTCCGTCTCAGTCACACTTAGGCCAAGCAACTCGCTCATTCGCTGTATTGTTATACGCGTGTAGTACATTGACATAATACGGATATTCTGTAACAAAATAACTCTTTCTAATGTTTTTTCAACTAAATTTTAATTTCCATACATCATCATGTTGAGCGAGTTGAATTTCATAGTTCAATTATAATTGATACGAAGAACCTGTCTGATTTTATCATGGCAACTAAATTATGAATTTAAACTGATTAAAATCATTTACACAATTCTACGAGACACATTATACCTATACAATCTATAATTTTTCTTTAGAAACTTAACCATATAGATCTCGGGATCCTCACAACCAACATTGATAAAAATTGGATTCAAATTCAGCCTTTTCATACATCCAAAAGCAGAAGAATATTAATCCTACTTACGTGTTCCACAACTCTATTCTTCAGGTCATTCCATCTCTCTTGTCCCATCTCATCGGAAGAGTTGAAGAATGGTGTCATTCTCAGCATTTTCTCATATGATGAGCACAAGGTGTTCCATCTTATTATCTCTGGATTCATGAACAGACCCAGCAGTTGTCTGAAAACAATATTCATTTTTATTTACACTCATACAATTGACCAAATTGTAACGCGTTCAGTTAGTCGGTTTAGAATTTTATATGTACGCTCAAAAAAATTTTTTTTTTATAATTGATCTTTTTTTTTATATTGTTGGATGGGATGTTTATCTTACTTGTACAAATTTTCGCTTAGGGCGCGTGCCTATAGATATATATATATATATATATATATATATATATATATATATATATTATTTGATAAAATCACCAATTCCAACAAAAGAAAACAGTTAAAGTAAAACTTAATAAATTTTAATGAAGACCCGTTTTTATGTTAAGCATAAATTTACGTGAAGCTGTAGTCATTGAATAAATTTTACTTACTTGTATTCAGGCAATTTATCAAGTTCCTTATCCTCTTTGAGTCTATGGGTCAAGTCAGCCTGCTCATTGTCGTATGGTGCTAAAATAAGGAACACCACACTTCCGATTAGCGCGTCATTTCCGCCTTCTTGCCCCAACGCCCGGAAATGACGGCACACAGACAAATACGCGCCGTTATGTTGGTCAACAGCTATCATCAAGCGATAGAACTTTTCTTTCAGCTCCTGTAAATAAAAATACTTTTTAATTTTAAGCTATAAGTGTATTTGGAAACACATTGCATTCGTTTCATTGCTATTGCTATCATACACAATTATTCTTTTGTTGGAAGTTGAATGTAGAATCTCTGGTTTGAATATGTGTATTATTAATCTTTAACATGCAGAGGCGGTATTAATAATTGGTGTGGATTCAAACATTACTGTAATAAATGTCTGTTTATATAGTGAAAAGCTTCAACAAGTACTATATATATTGAGAAAATAAACATTATTCATTAAAAAACTGGTACTAAACTTGGAAAAGTACTGAGATAATTAAGATAATAGATTGATTGGAAACTTACCAGTGTATTTTCTTCTTCAAAGAATTTAGTGTTAATTTTTTTGGAAATAATTTGAGTACGGATGTAATCCTTTATTGCAAGGCACAGCCTCATTTGCTCTAGAATAAGTTCCACTTTCTCTCTTTTATCCATTGAACCATATGTTTCAACCTGTAATTTTAAATGTTAAATAAGTATAACATATGTTTCAGATAATTATTACCTATAGTCGTATTTTTAATTAGACAAAGCCAACTGACAGTAGCTAATGTCACTTTGTAAAATAATGTTGCCATATTTAAAGTAATAGTGATACGTTCAGTTCTTGTTCAATCAGATTAATGAACAATGAGTGTGAATAGTTAATCATTTCAAACAATAAAATAATATTATTTCTATTTTAAAATTATATAAAAGTGCTCTGATATAAGTTAAGTACTAGTAGTATGTAACTACAATTAGTTTTTTGACGGCTTATTACAAAGCGCGGCGTGGTGACTAGTGCCATCACCGATCATTAATTCAGGAGTTTTTTCAATCATTCACTTAGTTACAACACTATTTTTATTTCATTAAAAAATGACAACACCGTAAACGTCAGTTGACTTCGTCTAATTAAAAATAGGACTATATATCTATCTGATCATTCTGCTGATTTTAAAAATTATATGAATTACAGAATTCAATTTTGTTAAAAATTAATAATAATAAAACTTTGTAAGAAACCTTGAGAGAGTCAAACTAAAATATGTTTGTCGATAATAATTTCTGTGCTGAGGAGTGAAGAAAACTGTATTCTTTCTTCCCAATATAAATAAGAACCAACCTGCAGTTCTTGTATGATTTTAGCAGCTTCAGCAACATTGTTCTCTTGTTCACGAATTTTAGCCAAAATATGGGTAAGCCTTGCTCTCTCTACTTCCACATAAATCTTTCCTTCGGTTATGGTTCTTAAGGTCTCTATTAGCTTAATTTTTGTCTCTTTATCTGGTGTCTTATCCACATAAGTACAACACTCTTGTACCATCTTTACCACTGCTTGCTTAAGTTGGGACCTAAAAATCAAATAAACCAATCATTTGAATCAGTAGCTTACACAAGAGCTGAAATAAAAACCAAGATAACTCAATAGACAGAAATTGTAACAAAACAGTTACAGAACCTAAAACAAACAGAGACGTACTGCATATAAAAATTAAAGGATTTAAAATCTCATATCTATAAATTAATTTATTTGGTTAAATTATGATTTATCTTCTATGCAAGGTCTTGTCTGGCCTTTAAATAATTATTTCACAATGAACAAATTCTAGGTCCTGGTAAGTTAAAACCTATAACTTGAGTATTGAGATCTGAGATAAAGTTTCATGACTATTATACATGCTGAACCAGTGAGTAAATAGTTAAATATTACCTTCTCTTTGATAGCAGAATAATGTGGTCATTGAGAGCTGACCAATTTTTAGCCTCGTAACATATTTGGACAATTGTTACTAAAATCCTTGCCGTGGAAGCCATGTCAGCACCCTGTTACAGAAAAAAGGACACTAGAAAAACTTATTTAAGGGCAAGCTCAATAAGCTAGACAAGACACTCAAAAATTATGTTTAATTTTAAACTCAAGAATCATTTATAAATTAATTTAATTCAAACTTAAAAAAATCAAACAAAAAGTTAATATTTAATATTCCCATTAATGCCTCGAAACATAAGCTGTCACTTCTCACACTAAGTTTGTAATAACTGTTAAATAAAATTAAGCTACTACAACTACAATGAGCACTGCAATTTTTTTCAACTTACCGTTCTGGTTTGTTTTTCCAAAGCCAATAATTGATCAATGGCCTCTTGAACCCTGCCACTAGATGCCCAGGACTTCCATAGTGGTATTTTTTCATCACAAGTGGCACTATAGTCGACCTATAGAGATAAATAATTAATAGTCTGCATACAAATGCATTATAATTTACTTCATTTTACTAAAGAATAAGGACTTTAAGTTACTACAATGAAAATGTCAGTGGGCATCTTCTTTGAACAATAAATCCCATACCTCCATTTTAATAATTTTGCCGCTAGCATCCAGGCTTTCCAAATCACCGTTTGTAGTCATTTTAAGGTATTAATTCTGTAAGAAAAGAAATAAATTATAGAGGTTCATATGTACGTACAAATGGATTTATAAGGCACGATTCAATAAGTGTATGTATTGCATTTGATAACACTTACCACAATTATTGTTATATTTAAATAGTAGTACAATATAGTTAAGGAATCGTAAGAAATATTTATATTTTGCACGAAATTAGATTTTGAATGTAAATGCAAGCTCACTCTTCTTGACAAATTAAAATTTGACGCAAGACCCTTCTATACTGACAGTTATAGACAATACACCTACAAGTACAGATTAGCCAACAGTCTGTAGACTTGATAGACTATAATCTACCGACTAAGTAATAAGCCCGGACTTTACACGATTACCACTTATATGTATATATGTATCAAACTGCAACCCTCCAATCAATTACAATCAATTGGCTATCTGCTGGTTCAATATTTTTACATTTTATTATGATTTAAAACGTATTTTTTTTTGTTAGTATAACGCGACCAAAGGGAAGGAGGCTCACCTAGTGTTAAGTTATACCGCCGCCCATGGACACTCACTATTTTATATGAATAATTATGAACACATAGACTCAAATGTTTTTAGACCACAGAGTAATTATAACCTTATTGTCTACACTTCTATTGTCTATAGATTCTCAAGATGTGATTTGTTTGTTATCTTTGGTGGGAAGTAGAAGAATGGGAATATGGCGTAGATGTGTTGATTTGTTTTTACATTTTGTAAATACCTAATTTTGATATTTATCCGACGCAAATCTATTCGATTTAAGCATTTATTTTTAAGTGTGACATTTTGTGCAATTGATTGTTTGTTGTGTGTTAGTGTCTATTGAATATAACGGTAGCCTACTTTCCATGGTAAAATTTCACAAGTCCATGAGTAAAGGCAGCAATTATTATTATTACCGTAGACAATGTTGTGTGCAATGAGTTTAATAAGTAACGATATGGATAAGGATACATCTTCTCAAAACTGTATAGGCCTACGTAGTCATTCAGCCCAAGGCCTAGGCAATAATTCTAGTCCTTTAAAAATACCGTTGCCACCTCGATTATGGATAACAGGTAAGTCTTATTATGCAATGAACATATGCTATTTAGAGTTTCTAATTTTGTACATAAATATTTTGATGACATTAATATTGCTTATTTTATAAACTTTGGTAAACTTCAGCTTTTGTTATGTCTATAGATATAGAAGATGAGTCTTCAGATGATATGAGTAGTTCTCGTGAAGATGGAGTTGTACATGTGGAAAGATCACGAATGCGGTCTCGTTTTAGACATCATAAGCGGGGGACATCCAACTGTATACCCCTTGGAATATTTTGGGATATTGAAAATTGTCAAGTAAGCAGATTATACATTAATATTATTTTGATATATTTAATAAAATTTAGAAATGGTTTCTATCATTACTACATTAGTCTGATATTAAAAACAAAATTAAAGCTTTATTATTTAATATTAATTGAATTATATGTTTACTTCATTCCATTTGCAAATAATTTAATTAATATATTAAAAATTATCTTTACACAGCTTACAAAACTTATCCATTGCTTATTACTAATTGCAATGCTTCTTGAGTCAAACATAATTATAATTAGATGTAATAGACTTGTAATTAAGCAATATATTCTTAAAATATAAATACAACATTGTTACATTATATTTTAGATCTTAAGATTGTTTCTTGGTCTTATTAATTTATTTTTTGTATCAGGTACCCCGTGGATGTTCAGCTATTGATGTGGTAGCAGCAATAAGAGCAAAATTCTTAGTTGGCAGAAGGGAAGCTGACTTTGTTGTTGTATGTGATGTAAGGAAAGAATTGCCAAATAGACTACAGGAACTCAATGATTCTCAGGTGGGTGTTAGAGCTACAGAATGTATTTAATATACAGTGTAAACTCCATTTAACATACCTTGATTTAAGAACAAACCCCTTTAAAAAGTGACTGACTGTTGTTAGCGGGAGTCATGGATATCAATGGACTATACAATATAGTGTTGAATTAAGAATAGTTTTTTATGTAATTATTAACACTAGTCTGAAATAAACTTATTCTAATACAGATTTTTTTCATTCTATTCAATGACATCTCTTTGATACATCAAAATATGCACAGTCCTTTGAAAACTTTTCAACATGAACTGTCATTTCCATACAAATTTAGTTTTCAACTTTCTACATACACTACTGTTAAGGCATCTTGACTAAGCCGCCAGGAGTGTTGTTGTATAGAGTTTACACTGTATAATCAAATTAGAAAATCTTCCTTGTCTACCTTCTTTTCCATTTGTCATTTATAGGTTAATCCATCAAAGTACATAATATAATGCTTTATTTGAAATCAACAAGTACATAATATTTAAAAATTGAGAACTGTTTACACTGATAAAAAAACTATAATTTATATAATGACTTTCTTGTTGTTTCCTGTGTAAATTAATTAGTGATAATCGCTAATGTATGTGATATCCCTATTGTAGTTTAATCATAATAAAAGAAAATTAATTATATAGTGATAATTAAGTAGGTCAAAATAAAACACTAATTAACAAAGAGACATGTTATGTTATGTAAAGCAAGTTTGTAATTTGAAATTGATTTCATATAATCTAATTAGATTCAAACTATTAAAAAAAAACTGTATTTAGGTCAACTTAATACATGTATGTGGAACTCAAAAAAATGCAGCTGACGAAAAATTGAGGCAATGTATGCGACGGTTTGGAGAATTACACCCTGCCCCAGCCTCTTTACTGTTAATCTCTGGGGATATTAACTTTGCAGCTGATTTAAGTGACTTTAGACATAGGTAAGTAACATAAAAGTGGGGCCTAAATTCTGTTATTACACTTAATTACCCCCTGGTGTTTTTTAATTAATTTCATAGAGAAAACCAAATTATAAATCTATAAGAGCAATATTTATAATTGAAATAGCAGAATTGGGCCTTTATATATGAATCATCCATTATTGCTTGATCTATGCTAAATAATTTATAAACTAAACTAAGATTTTTCAACCATCTTAATAATTTTAATTTGAGAGACTGATGTCCAGTACTTTTTTTATACTAACTTTTTTTTAAATATCATTGGTATTTATTATTTAAACTGACTGGCTGACTTATAAACATATATTTATATATATATTTTACATAGGCAACCTTTATCTTGCGGTATTCTATTTACGGATAAGTGAATTTTTTTAGAGTATGTATTGTAAATTAACTTATTCATTTGCAATTGTTGAGTCATAAAAACTTGGATTGAAGTTAACATGTTGGTTTGCATTATAATTTTGATTATGTCAGCAATACGTGTTGCAAACAACTTTGTTGGTACAATCCAATAAGAAAAAAAGTAATATGTCTAAAACATATTTATGTAACTTTGTAAAAAATTAGCACATCATATGATTTGTAGTACTTTGCTTTCACTGACTTCAGTGTAACTTTTATGGTTGAAAAATCAGATCTTTAAAGGCTATTTTTAATAATATGTACTGGTCATTAGGAAAAATATGGAAGTGATATTGGTGCATAAACAGAACACCTCAGCCGCATTAATTACTTGTGCCTCCTCACACTTTTGTTATAATGAGCTGACCGCACATCTCCCAAGGAATCCTAAGGTATCATCAAATCATGGTTATTCAATTTTTAATTTTGTAGCAATATCAAACCTATTTAACCAGAACTAATGTTATAATCTTATATATTGATTTACTTTACTTACCAAACATACAAACAAACAAGTTGCAACCTGTGGTTATATTTTTGTTACACTTTCATACTACATAAACATGCATTATTTATTTAATACTATTGATATATAGAAAAAAATCCTAGGTAAGTATAAATAATTAATAAAAATTTCGAATAGGTAAGCCAAACAGAAGAAGATGAGGAGCCTACATGCGAAATGGAAGTTATAAACTTACCAGTAGACCAACCACCTGAAAGAGTGTCAAGACGGTTGAGAAGACTGGCAGATAATTGTGGGGGTAAAGTCCTAAGAGTGACAGCATCCACAGCAATGATGAAGTTTCCTACTCCTGATCATACATCCCGGTAAGTCTCTTTCATTAATCACTCTTTTATATTAATGTGCTCTGCGATTTTGTCTCTTGAAACTGAAACTACATATTATAAACGTTTTGTTGGGTCATGGGAAGTAGTCTGTATAAACCCAGAACAAGTCCCTATTTTTTTTTAATAATATAGGATTTGGTACCTTAGTACCTTTCTGCATAGATATAGTTTTTGAATCCTGATTTATTATAAATCTTGTTCTGGAGGATCAGTCTATCAACATTCATTTGCTTTTACACAAATAATATGTATATAATGCGACGTAAATAAATGATAACAGTATTTAATATCAAATATAAAGAAATTTATAACACTATTAATTATAGTAATAAAAAATTATCAATTTAAGCGTAATCATAATGTAATCAATACCAATGCAACCGAGACATGTTATTCCGATTGATTTTGTGACATAGATACTATCTTGGCGACAGACTTACTACACTAAAACAGATTATTAAATATTGAATTTCTTTGAAATCTTAATTATTTCTTTAAAAATGTCTGGTTAGACAAGATTTTATAGACAATTAAATTTAAGTTCCTAAGATTTAATATAGACAGCGAATGACGTACATATAAATCTAAATTACAAGATGCATTTGTAACTTTAAGCTTAGATCAATTTCTGTTTTTATTCCAAAGCAGCCCCCCAAAACATCTAGCTTTGTTTATTGTTTTCATTGTCTATGGTAAGGAGTTTCATAACTAATAGTGTATCCGATTTTACAATTATAGCCGTTTCGTTAATATTTTATATCTACCTTCAATTTCGTTAAGATTTTTAAATAAATCGTTCGATATTTTTAATCTCTCATTGCAATGTCAGGCACTAACAGGCACACACCAAGTTATTTAACTTAATTTAATTAAATATATTATTTTTAATAAATAGTCATTTATATATTATTTGTAGCTTTGAAAGCATTTAATGTTAGGTAGTGTTATAATATAGTAAAAATGATGCTAAGCAGGTGAGTTTTCAAATTTTATTACGAATCCACGTCGCGTTTATTCTTTCTTTTATTACTTTGAGTTCGGTTTTAAAATTATACACAAGCACGTATAATTTGCGCGAAAAATAATACTAAATTCCCAGTAAATTTGTTACTAAAATTTGTTTATATGTACATATAAAAAGTTTCGATAATTATCAATTGATTTATTTACGTGCATTTGAATACGTTTGAGTGAATAAATTCTTGATGTCAGCAGCAAGCTTATCGTTTCTTCGTTTTACGATTTTCTTTGTTCTACGATGACTCATAATTTAACGGTCAGTGAAAGCCTACGTAGGCACAATATTTCCTTTCGAAAAATGGCAGATGATTTTAGATGTTAAATAATGTAAATATATTGTTTCATTTAAAAATATTGTGTTTTGTAAAGATATTTTATTATTAAGCTTAAATTATGTTTACACGAAGTAAGATGAAATTTTTACAGCCCTTTTCAGTCTTTACGGTACAGTTACGTTTAGTAACTATTTATATAAATCCTTGGAAGCTAAAAAAGGTTTATAATGCTTTCTTAAATCAGCTTAAATCAGTGAACATATCGGCCATTAAATTTTGTACTTTTTTCACATCGGTGATTGACATAGTTACGTAAATTATACACCATCATATAATTTTGTTTGAATACGGCCGTCAGTTTATATTAAAAATAAGCGATAAAAACCTGAAAGTGTGAACCTATCGCATTTATAACTTATATATACTTAACTTAACTTCTTTTGTTAAACAAGGTTGTTGGTAATAGTGAGGAAGTAGGAAATAAGTATTGGCAAGGTGGCATACTTGTTCCGTAAAATGCATTTGCTACGCTGTTTTATTTATTCTTTAAGAAACTAGGTCGTTTTGCGGTATTTATTTGAATTTAATTAAAACCAAGTATGATTTAAATTTCAACCGTTAAAAAGTTGATTAATTAATATATATATATATATAGCTATTAGAATACGTCATGATTCAACAACATAAACTGCATACGATTATAATATATGTAATTTATTTATTTCGATGAGTTAATAAGTAAAGTTTTTGTTTCTACTTTCAGCGAGTATTACACGTTGACGTCGCTTTGCCACGTATATATTAAGATGAGTAGAAATAGGAAAAATTAAGGGTTATATGTATTTTTAACCGAAGGAGTAGGTTAACAATTCTACATATTATATATATGTTTTTTAATTAGAAGTTCTTAAATAAATTTTCAAAATAAAGATTTTAATAATAAAGAATTAGTTAACTAAAACTTGATATGAATGCTATCGGATTTACTATAGCATACAACGTTTAAAATGTTAACTGTGTTCAAGTTTTTATCTCCTTTTAAACTAAATTTTTCCGTATCACCTCGTTGTCCGTCGTTCCACAAATAAGCGTTATTTAAGGCAGATTTTACCACGTACTACCACTATGTGGAACCAGCTAACCACTACCTACTCTGGCATTGATTGTCCATGGGCGTTGGTATCACTTAACATCACATGCGCCCGATTACCCCCTGTTCTATAAAAAAATCATAATATAGGGAATAAAAAAGGCGTTGATACTACTACCTCGGTAAGTTATTTGATTGAAGAGGTGGATATTAAAAATCTGAACCACAATACTGCTATGTCTAAACAGAAAACAAAGCCTTTGTGAACATTGATTTTCAGACTGAGAAATAGTTTGTTACTCTAGATCTATAGTAGCTGTTTTTGTAAGATTGATGAAAATTCAAAAGATTCATCAATGGCAAGAACTGACTTCAAAAGTTGCATTAATATATTAACAATGTACCAAAAGAAACTAAGCACCTAAATAAGGACAGTACAGTACAGCTTTGCGACTGTATTTTAATATGGTTTATCGTGAACGAAATTAAATCATAACAATGTATTAATTAAAGTAGTCATTTATCTGTTTTATATTTAGTTATAAATAAAAGACATTATGGCTTCAGTAACTGTTCAAATTAATTAAAATTTTATTGAATAAGGTGGTAAATAAGAGTTTTTTTGACACTTATACTTATTTATATCCGTTATCTATTTAAATATTTTGTACTCGTATAAACCAAAAACAATATGGCAAACCAACATTTTTTTTTTTAATTTTCTTCCAGTGCATTGAAACGTATGGAGGGCGAAGACGTCTTCGGACGTAAAATTAGTACGCGTTACGTACGCAGTGCGTTGCAACCCGCGTACTCCAGTGACGAGGGCTATTGCACTGCGCCTCCTAGTCAGCCTACCATGTTACCACAGCCTCCAACTCACTTTGTGCTCCCTCAGGTAAATATCCATCCAAAAATCTATTAAACTTTCCAAATTTTGTATGTACTGTACTGTGATAGGTATAGATAGTTCCTTCCGTTCACTTACTTGCATATAAAGAAAAATTGAGATACAGAGACACCAAGATTTATATATAACCAATTTTTTTGATTGAGATTGAATCGTTAACTGATGACTAAAAATACTTTATAGCTTTTGGTGATTTATGAAGACAAATATGAATACTTCAAGAAAATTATTGCACTTTGATACTTGTTTTCAAATAGTGTTGTCATACAATTTTTAAACACGTTAATTTCATTAGACTTTATTACATACTTACTTGCAGGTACCACAAGTAGCCATGGAGAGGGAACAGGTGGCGAATGAATGGGCGTTAGCTTTGAAGCAACTACCGGTGCATGCCGTGCCATTGGAGTATTGCCCTCCTCCCAAACCTAGGAAGATTAGAGGCAGGCATGGTAAGTGAAATGTTTTAACCTATGTATTTGTGTTAACTAGCTGTCGTCATCCTTGGATATTGTTTATAATTTAAAATGTAGGGAATCTCTGAAAGATAAATTCAAGGAAATTAATAAAATAAAATAAATATGTTTATTATGGAACATAAGATACATGTATCACTTATTCCACGTCATTAAATTTGAATTTGTAGGCATCCCTACTCATCGGCAAAGAAGACAGAGGGTGTAAGCCGAGAGAAAAAGCCGGCGTAAAAATATACCTTTCCCTCGCAATATATTTATGACAATATTATGAATGTATACAAAAATAGTGATAAGTTTACTAGAATAGAACATACGCACAATGTTAATACTCGGAACAAACGCAGGCTGCAATTTCCCCGTACTAGACTATCTAAAGTTAGTAATTCTTTTTCGGGAAAAGGGATACTCTTCTTTAATAAAATCCCAGAGGCTCTTTTATCTCTGCCTTTTGATAAATTTAAGAAATGTATTAAAGAAAAGCTGTGTAAAAAGGCTTACTATAAAGTTTACGATTATCTAGTTGATAAATGGGCCTGGGACTAGTGCTAGACAGGCTGCTTCTAATTAATTTGCTATATTTGTTTTAAAACAAGTGTTGTTTGATAATTTGCTATTTTAAAAGAGTACCGAGAGTTTTTTACCCCGGCTTTTTCTCTCAGCCTTACACCCTCTGTCTTCTTTGCCGATGAGTAGGGATGCCTGCAGTTTCAAATTTAATGACGTGGAATAAGTGATACCTGTATCTTATATTCCTTAATAAACATTTTAATGACATCAATTTCTATATGTTAGAGGTGTCAGCTGAGTAAGACTGATTTAAGCAAATAAGGCCAAGCAGCATAGATCTGATCAGCTAAAAAAGCTTCCGATCAGATCTATGCTGCTGTTGTATGACGTTCTTCTATTAATTTAATATTGGTATCTCTGATAAATATTGGAGCGTATAATAAAAAGAGCAGTGCTGGCTTCAGCGTGGGACTCTCATCCCTGAGGTCGTAGTGTCGATCCCCGGCCGCGCTCCAATAGACTTTCTGTCTATGTGCGCATTTAACATTCGCTGGAACGGTGAAGAAAAACATCGAGAGGAAACCGACTTTCATTAGACTCAAAAAGTCGACGGCGTGTGTCAGGCACAGGAGGCTGATCACCTACTTGCCTATTAACAAATGACCATGAAACAGATACAGATTTTTTTATCTCTGATAAATGTTGTATTGTCTTTTATTGACATAACTTTTAGACATAGAAAAACACTTTTTTAACGGATTTGAAGTTATGTTTTATTATAAATTTACAATTATTTTACATAATTTTAAATTTAACCGACGTTTCGCGTGCTTTACAGCGAGCGTGGTCACGGTGACTGAAGACAAAACGTGTTGAATCTCAAAAAGTATCACAGCTGTAGAAAAAGTTGTGTTATCTGTATTTATTTCCCCGGAGTTGGTATCGACTAAAAGATGGAGGGTTTTAGCAGAAATGGCTCACGGTGTCCTCTATTTCCGCGGATTGCTTACCTTGAGATTTTAATTTGGTTTTATTATTGTAAATTTATAATAAAACATAACTTCATCAAATCTGTTAAAAAAGTGTTTTTCTATCTGATAAATGTTATTTGTTAGATGCTTAAACTGCAACCGGTTTGGATATGTTTGGTAAAGCAGTTGAATATCGCAGGATCAGCGAGCCTGGATCAATCAGCGTGCTCTTCAAGCAATTGTAGCGTTGAAGACAGCCGACTTGGGATCGGTCGTTCGATGTCTCCGTGGAACTCGTCCGCCAGCTTCAGCGATCAGAGCGAGACTGAGGACACTGTTACAGAGTTAACTGTGGCCAATCTTCCACCCCATGATCCGAATGTATTGCAGGTATGATATATTTTTTTGCTGTTCTCTTAACCAGCTTGCTTATTTATGATTTGTTTGATTTTATCTGAGATTCGTTTAGGGAGCGTTCAAGTATTACGTAACTAATTTTTTTACAAAATATTTATTATTTTGTAAAAAGTTACGATGCGGGGCGGGGATTGAATTACGCGTTATTGTTAATATTATTTTCGACTTTCCAGTACTTTACACCACATAATGGTAACTTTTAGGTATAAAGAGTCACTTTGGTGGTCACGAAACGTTTTACTATTGGGTACAGAAAAACGTTACGGCGCGTTACATGGGGGGAGTTTAATCTCCATTCTCCGTGACGTAATACTTGAACGCTCCCTTATAGGCAAATTTATGTCATCTCTTTGTACGGCACTCGAATATATAGCATTCTATAAACTGGGTGAGTATAATCTTACTTTACAATTATAAGTTGTAAAGTAAGATTATATTGGCCACTGTGGGTTGAGCTGAGGTAGTTTTTGGGTTTTCTCCTACTAATGAAAACCAAAACGTAAGAACTTTCTCCCATCACAAAAAATCTTGCCAAGCTACGTGCGAGACTAACAGCTTTTGTTTAAATAGAATACATTCTCAGGATTTAAAAGCAATGTATTTTAAGTTTCTGGTCTTTCAGTTCGTTGGAAAATTTCAATCTTAGTTTTAGCTTTTTGACATCAGTTTTCCATCATAACTTCATTTCCAGGACATGGTTCTAAAGCTACTAAACCAACACGTGCCCGTATTACGCGTAACCGTTTGGTCCAGCGGGGAAGGGCCAGTCGCGACCGTCCTCCTCCGATCCGAGGGGGACGCACGTCTCGCAATAGCCCGTATCCACAAACGCCGGCTCGATAACATCTGGGCGGGTCGCAGGCTCGACCTTTCCCTCGGCAGGCCCTCCCCGGCTCCAAGCCTAGACGTCCTAAGGGCGCGTCTACGGGCTATCCTCCTAGAGCACAGAGGACATACGCTGCCACTCGTACGTCTACGTGACGCGTATGCAAGCAGGCATTCGTGTGCAATAACCACATCGGATATAGCTAAGATTCGTGACACGGTGGTGATTCAGGAGGGTTTCGGGCGTCTGGTGCAGTTGGTGGACTTCTCGCCGGCGTCCAGTGCCGAAATGGAGGAAGCGCCGTGGAGGTGCAACGTACATGCGGCGTTTACGGGGCACGACGACGGGAGTAGGATACTGCAACCGGTGTTTATGAAGATATCGGTGCTGACGAATAATATAAGGATGTTGATGGAGGGGCATAATGGCATTTTGCCTCTTTTGAGGTGAGATTTTCATTTGCTCATTAATATATTTGAGATGTTTAGCATGTCACTATGGTTTTGTTGTTGAAATGTTTATGGACCTCTACTTCTGGTGGAGCGTTCAAGTATTACGTGACTAATGTGGGGGGGGGGGGAGTCAATTGCGGGGCGGGGATTGAATTAAGAATTAATATTATTTTCGACTTTCCAGTACTTTACACTACATAATGGTAACTTTTAGGTATAAAGAGTCACTTGGTCACAAAACGTTTTACTATAATTGGGTACAGAAAAACGTTACGGCGCGTTACTTTTTCTCCAATAATCTCCAAAAATTGCGTGACGTAATACTTGAACGCTCCCTGTTAACATTGATAATTTTTATGGTCATCATTTTCAAATCAAACCCAGAACGTATATGAACGTGACAGCACATTTTTTAAATGATTTATATTTAATTCTAATTTTTTTTAAATGTTTTGTTTATTTTTCAGTTTTGTGGAGTGTTACGAGTCAATGTTCCCACCGCTAGTATGTGACCCACGGTACGGCGTACCCCTAGAGCTGCTCCTGCGCAGCATTCCCTGTGTTGCTGTGAAGGACAGTCCCTCACGACACCTTGCCTGGGCCGAACCGCCGGTTCTGCCTCCACCGTTTGATAGTTGTAAGTTATAAGACAACCTTCCAAAAATTAATGAGCCAATAAAACAAGTATAAATAAAAAATCACATCTCTTGGTTTAAAGTTAATTTACTTATTGAAATTATTAGAAGCTAAAGAAATATAAACAAGAATTGAATAGTGGCTTCACCGTGCGACTCATCCTTGAGGAAGCACAGACACACACACACAGAATATACATACGCACATAGCACGGAAGGCCGATCACCTACTTGCCAATTAAAATCTCTTCCTCTAGGCTCCAACCAGACTTAAAAGGTTGTACCGCCACTGGTAAACAAAAATAGTTTGGATTGTGGTTCAAATTTTTATGTTCGCAGGTGATATATCTCGAGTCCGTGGACGCACTGCGCCAGCGTTGGAGCCGATGTTGGCTTTAATTGAAAAGGAACTCTTGGACCTGCTACGGGCCCAACCCAAGTGTTCTATACAATTTAGCAAGTAAGATACTTTAGTCAATAATTACTAAATGTTGTTTATTTATAATAATTTTTTACTTTCTTTAAAGGAAATAATTAAAAAAATACTTGATAGAATTTTTATAAATTTTCTAGGGTTAGCCACATGCCTATGACCCGTTTTCGGCTTGACATTGATTAATGGAACATTCATCAATGTCACAAATCATTAAATAATCTAATAATACCCAACTATATTTTATTTAAAAATTTCACTTTAGTCACAACCTGTATTGGAACAAGAATTGGTTTTAGTGTAGATAATATTATCAATATAGGTTTTTAGTTTGACGGACTGAAAATTTTATATATTTCCACCACACCATTTGTGACATGTTATTAAGTTTTAATAATACTTGGGGTAGTTACAATCTATTAAATAATCTATTAATCTATGGTTACTAACCTAACACAGAGTACAACAAATTATTCCTTTGTTTAAATTTAAGCAATACACAGAATACTGAATTAAAATGCTAGGCCAAGCCTTACTTACAAAACTTATTCCGTATTACCATCTTCTTGTCTTTAGCCGCCAAAGTCAAACTACATAAGTTTGTGAAGTGTTTATTTGTCTACAGGTTGATTCCAGCCTTCCACCACCACTTTGGTCGTCAATGTCGAGTAGCTGACTATGGATTCACCAAGCTACCTGATCTCCTCGCAGCTTTGAATAAGAGTATTGTGGTATGTATTTATTCTTCAGTACATAGTTGCTTTTTGTTCGGTACTGTATTGAAGTAATTAATATTTCTATTGAATTAATTTTTGTGTTGGGAATCTTGTGCTTTGGCATTAGCTGATAAAAAAAAATACTTTAATTTTTTTGTGTAAATATCATGCTTTTATTTTTACTTTTTTTTATTGACATCCATATTGTTATTTATATGAATAAATGATATTATTTTTTTTCTTACAGGTCCTCGGTTCGGGGTCATATCGTATCATAACTATTTCCGCCTCCGCTCAAAGTCGTCGTTGGACATCTGATGTCTTAAAAATTCTGAACTCTCATTTGGGCCAAGCGATTCACGTCCACAACTTCGCCCAGTACTACCAAGCCGTCATGTCTAGGCCCTTCTCTCCAGTCGACTACGGCGTTTGCACTTTCGATGAACTTTTGCAGAAAACCTTACCCGGTTGTATCGTCGTCGGCCCCGATGGCTCGATATCCCTCCCCGTGCACCCTCACGTAAGGGAACCGCAAGACGCTTCTAGAATCCTCGAATTCGCCGCCCAAACTGTGGAAATTCTCTGCCACACGCCGAACTTCCAGATGGAATTCTCTCGCTTCGTTCCTATGTACCACACGTACTATGGCAAACAGTTGCGTGTATCGCATTTCAGTTGTGCCAAATTGATGGATCTCTTCGAAATAATATCCCAAGTGGTGACCGTATACAACGGGCCAACTGGCGAACGTACGCTGAAATTGGGCACGCACATTGCCCGTCCTATGTTCTCGCAGCGTTTGAAGTCCATGACACCGATGGAGTTGGCCAATTTCCCAATGCGTTATACGGCTCAGTACGGGGCTCCCCCTCAGCCGGCCATTTTGGAAGTTAAGAGCATTGAAGATATGGTTTTAGATGCATCGAGCCGGATCGAATGGGGGTATATTTATTCCACGGGTGATAACGCTATTTGGGTGAATGCAGCGCTGATGGCGTGTTACGTTTTATCTGCTGACCGTAGTGTGGCGCGTGGGTCGTCCGAAGAGTATTTTGTTACGGCCTATACTCAGTTGAAGGGGTCACCTCCACAAGTGACTCAGCTCCAAGTTATGGGGGTATTAGAAGTGTCAGACCGCTATGTCCGCCTGGCTCCCTTGTGGCGCACTATATGGAGAGTTGTGATGATCCTCGCAGATCACAAACACCCAGTTCCGGCTATGGAGGTCTTCTTGGAGTATACTAAGCGATTTGGACCCACATTCCCGAAGGCTGAGTTAGGTAAGACAATTTACAATAGAAAAAATAATTAATTAAATAGATACGTGATCTTGATGTTTTACTTTTGTTACAATTATATACGTCACAATTCTAACACTATATTGTCGATATAATGTAGCCCATAAATTATGTCTTAACTCAAATAAGCCAGAAACTTATGTAAATAAAACCATATTCAAAATAATTTAACAGCTCTTACTACTTTGTATGGATAATAAACTTATTATATTATATAAAGGAATTTAAATTTCAGGTCTTGAAGCAGTAGTAGCTTTCCTAAAGGAAAACGAAGCCGTATTCAAACCAGTGTCCTCTGTGGAGGGTCCAACATGGCACCTCGGTGAGGGAGTTTTCCCTCCTCAGATGAGGGAGCTCGTCAAACATAGCATGGTCTCTGAGGACTACTCTAAATATGATACTCCTCCTGGACAGAAGGTAATAAACAATTTTTAATTAAATTATTTATATTTTTTAAATATTAAACCCTATTGAAGGAAACACTATTTTTCGAATTTAAAATCTTGCGACTAGCTTAAGTGATGTTAATTTTTTTTTAAATAGGTTAAATAGCTATTGAGTTATATAGCTTTTTTCGTTAATATTTTGTAATTCAGTTATAAGTAATGCTCCATATTATTTAACATAATTTTCTCTAAAACAAAATTTTGTCTAATATACGGTTTTTATAAGTAATGGAGTTTTGTAACTTTTTTGTTTACTAGTTTTACATTTTTAATTATAAAGAAAAATATTTTGCATCTTTTTAATAAGATACCTATAGTAAAGATTAATACTTTTAGATGTACCTTGATACAGTTCATTACATATTTCAGGGTTCTCGCGTGTTCGAGTCGCCAAAGAGATTTGCGGGAAGCATCTGGTCTCCTCCCGCCAGCTCTGTGCCGCTACCAGATGGGCTGATCGGACAGGACAAACGTGAGTATGATTTTAATTTTTTTTAAAATTACTTTTGCAAACCTTCGTGTATAAAAATGATAACTGAACACTTTCACTTCTTTCCTACAAGAACAGAGCGTACCATTTCTTAAAGGCCGACAACACACTTTCGAGTCTCCTGCCCGTTTGCCTCCTGTTAAAAAAAACACTTATTCAATGATGTTGGCGGGGAACTTCTGTTTTCAAGTAGAAACTTGTTAGAACCCACAGAAGGATGATTAACAAAAATATCATGTCTTAGAGACAACAATATATAATATCTCAGACAAGTCATTAAAATAATTGTTGAACCTAGTGCAACAAAGTAATTATTTTTTGCCTAAAGCTTAGGTTTTCTAGAAAAGCGGTGCCGTTAACTTACGACCGTCATTTAACGGTTGTTAATAACGGCCGTCTTTACTTTTTAACATAATGCAAAAAAACATCGTTTTCGCTCGTCCAAGTCACGTTTCCACTCATGGTATTAATTAAATATGGGCACCGGTACTCGCGAAAAACGTTGAACTAATGTTTATCACCTCTATGTCGGCCGTCATGCAAATGACAGCACCGCTATTTGACGTTACGGTGACACTCGACGTTCTCTAGAAAACCTACTCCGATGTTATTTATAGACAACGTTTGGGTGACGTCACCCAACGTTACATTACGGCCGTAACGGAAGAGACGGCACCGCTTTTCTAGGAAACCTAAGCTTAAGCTGTTGGCCGCAACCATGATTATACATATTATTTATATCTAATGTCATAAAATATATTTGTAATTAAATTTGTTTGCAGGTCGCACCCGCCTCGCAGCCCAGTTTGATTCAGTGTGATAAATCATTCCCAATGTATAATTAAGGGTAAGAACACATTCCATTCCCACACTTTATCTGGAGTGTACATGTGTTCCAACGAATTTCCAAATCTTATACGTCTCCTATGTGATGTTAAACAATAATATTTTAGATTGTGTATTTTTGTGTGTTTATTAATTATAAGAAATGCATTCGCTAAGTGTTACAGTGCTGTACATATTTGGACTTAACTCTGTTAATTTTATAGTTATATATAATGTTTGAGAATTGTAGAAGCAACAAAATTAAGGAAGCTGTAAGAAATTTTTTATCGAGTTAAAGTTCCAAAGACTTGTCTAAAGTACTACTCTAAAATATGGCAATCAATATTTTACCTTTTGACACTGACTTAATAGATAGACCCTAAGTATATTTTGTATATTAAACTCACTATACATATCCTTTCATACGCTCAATGTTTTAGATAAGCACTGGTAACATTAAACGAATGTTCACATAAAAGTACAATAATCATGATTTATTTATAAGAGAAAATCATTGAGAATATGATCTCGATTATTTCTATAAATGCTTTATTTAATATTGGCTTTAAATGACTTATTCGATGACTGTTGTTAAAGTTCCAATATATAGAATACCATTCGAATTTATAATTTTAGATGGAACTTATATTTTTATCTTCAAAATGTTTATATTTCCTGTTAATGAGTTGTACGCGTGTTTGAGACTTAGCGGCCGGTAATTGTTGCACAAAACTCCATATAATTTTGTACATATTTAAATTATTCTGTTGTACCTTAGAAAATAATTTTTGTTAATAGCCTCTACGGATGAAACTGGACACTTGCCACAAAATTGAGTCAATTATACATTTTGAGGTTTCGATTGTCTCTTTAGACCTGTGCAATTTTTACGACAAATCCAACGCAAAATTCCACATTACACCTGAGTTAATTTTATAAGCATTTTTAATAAGTTATTTTAAGTGATTGAAAGCAGACGGCCTAAAATGTGTTCAAAATGGCTGTCTGTTAGCGTCCAAAAAATTAGTACATATAATGATAAGTTCTTGACTCATCTTAGCCTAATTAGCATAAGTAATTAATTTAAGGATCAGTTTTGTTATGTTTTGAGTTTTTTGTAAATAAATGTGTATGAAGTAACAATTGTGAATTGAAGCTACAATTTATTCTGTGATATTATAATACCGCATCTTTATGTCTCTATGTATAAAATGTACATACTATATTCGATTGCTACTAGTAATTTACACATTTATTTACATCAATTATATTTCGGGTGGAAATGTGGATTTTGATTATTTTGTAAGCGGGCCCTTGCTTTATAAGTTGTATACTGCCAGTTTGCATTTTAGAGTGAATAACCATTAAAGCAAAGTAAAGAAACCAGAAAATAAAATGTTTCAAAATATTTGGACCACTTTAATGGGTATGAACTCAAACTTCTTCAAGGTAAGTGGGTATTAAATCTGGTTCTTTTATAGAGAATGAATGAAGAGATTTTTTAATCGAATTTCGAGGATTTTATCGTCATGACTTATTTGGATTTATGTACTTATAAATTAGCGAAATACCAGTTTGTTAAAAAATTGAAACTGGAACAAAATGTTTTAAGCCAATATTTTTATTTTTTGACCAAGTAAACTTAAATTTCAATATTTAGATTAGATTTTTCAAGTACAGCAAGAGAAGATGTTTGTATTTTATTACATCTTCAGTATTCTGTGATTATTGTTTCTTGTTATAAATTCATTGGTGTATGTGTGTATCATAATGCATGATAAAATCTTATATTTTTAAATAAAGTTTGTTTTATTTTGAAAAAACAAACCCTATTTTGTTCTTATTTGCAGCAAACAAGATAATTTTTAGAACCAACAACCTGTTATCCTTTGGTCCTATTTCTATATGAAACATGCCAATTATAGGATTTAATAATGTGTATGAAACCTAGTTGGGTATTGGAAACCCAGGCTATTCAGTATTTATAAACACTTGATAAACCCTGTTAGTTCCATAAACTAATTATTTTGAATCATTACATGTGTATAACATTGCTTTATTAATTAAAATGGACTTGCAATTTAATAATTTATTAATGCAATCACAATATTACATTCCTACTTAGTATATATTTGTTTAATCACTTTGTCTGTTCAGACAGAGGTCCATGGCGCTTCTCCCAAATCATGCGGTGTTTTTGCTTCATGTAAGCTTTACGAGCATCTCCAAATGCTCCCAAATCACCATCTAGAAGTTTATTGAAATATGAGCCTCATGATATAAAACTCTTAAATGTGGCCATTTTAGAAGATCTTATGGTCTGAGCTTTAAGGTAGTATAATATAAACATGAAGAAATAGCAGGTAAGCACATGATGATGTGACATTAGTAGTACCAAACATGAAATGAAAATCAATTTTAGCTAACATAAAATAAAAACTGTTTTTTAAAAAACAAAAAGTTCTTAAATAAATTGTATCTAGTGTACAAATAAAACACCTGTTACTAATTATAACATAAGGAATATTTTATCTTATTTGGCATGTCTAACCAAGAAATTGTCAATTACAAGCAGCTGTTACAGGTAACACTAGTTAATAACCATTTAATAATATACATACATTTAATGAACCAGGCTTCTTCAGCATCCTTGTATTTGTCCCAAAGTGGCTTGCACTTGGTAAGATGATCAGGGGCTTCATAGATCATGCAGTCCTCGAATCTCATACGAAGAATATTCAAAATTTCAGAATCCACCATCCTAAAAATAAATGTTTGTTCAAATAATGGTTTAGAATTCAAGGTCTATTTAAATTTTGTTCTCTTGCAGGTTCAACATTAAGACTATATTTTTAATGGCACAAAAAGTAAACAAACATAGCCCAGAATACAAAGATGCAATAACTTTAGGGGTGTTTAGTTGTTTCTTTAAGAGAGTATTTTAGTGAAGGAAATATTAAATAGACACATACTGTTCTTGCCCTAATTAGTCTCAAAATAATATTTTAAGTGAACCTGTCTCGTTTGAATTGCGCGTTTGCTTCGAAGTCGCAGACTGGGTCATCGCTATAACATTGATCAATTGTTGGTACGCGACGAAACTGCTGATGATACCACGGGTATTTTTTCTGGTTGGGCTCGACTATCTTTTCTGCAGCAGAAAAATAACCATGTATCGCTTACATAACAATATTTTTGTATTTTTGTTTTACAAATAAACATACCTCTAAACCATGTAACTGGGGAATCTACAGTTCTATACAAAGAGCTAAAAAAACCTCTAAAGGCGTTGTCATCTTCTGCACCCATGTTTGCAGTAGTTTAAAAAGCTAATTGGGAAATACAAAATAGAATTTAATGTGGAACGATGTCAGTTGGGTTCATATTTTACTGTAGTCTTTAGTTAACTCTGACAGTTATAAAAATCCTTCACTTTTTTGACAGTGTCAGTGATTTGACTACTGACAAATTATGGAATGGATAATGTCAAATTGTCCTATCCGTGAGTGAGTGTTCAGTGAGATGAATTTTGTCAAACACACAGACTATTGCACATAATGATAGTAACTTATTAATATTAAATATTTAATTTAGTTACTTTATTGGAAACAGCACAATATTAAAGTTTTTTGTTTATTTATCATTAAGGGCCAACTATTTCAAATAAATTGACATTACATGATAGTTTAAATCGTATAATTTATATAGCACTACCTTTATTTATAATATCAAATAATTTATGTTTGTAATCAGCTTGTTTTCTATAGTTTTAACAATATAGCAATTTTAAAACTATATAATATAATCATAATCCTGCATACTTAAGCATAAATAGGATGTACAGTAAGCATAATAATTATACACTTGAGTCGGTGTAGGAAAAGAACCATCATCAGCTTTGAGGATGAAGCAATCCTAATTTACGAATTTATAGTTACGACAGTAATCATAACAGTTCTACTGACTACAGAATATTATTAGTGGCGTAAGCGAGTGCCTTTCAATCCTTAGGGCGGTCGTTCTAATCACGTCAGCTGTACAGCAATAGACTTTTTCACGAAACGAACGAAAGTTCAGAAGTATGAGACCCAGATCTAAATGGTTGTAGCTGGTTTTATTTAGTTATTATAGTTTATTAATAACAAATAATAATGAAAAAATAAATATTTCTATCATATTTGTGTAGATGATATAATTTTTAAGATATTGTTTAACTTTTGAAAATTTTAAATTATTTTAATTTTATCCTCAAGCCAACGTTTATAATCATATATCGTGTAACTAACCCATTTAACATATTATACATTCTTTGAGTATATTGGTGGGTGTATCCAATTAAGATATTGTAAAACTTAGTTGGATCTTATAAACGATATTATAAATACCTATTTATTTTCTCTGTGTATTTATTATCAATGGAAATACAACTGTATTATAAAACATAATATAAAGTAGTAACTAGCCAAGCTCATAAAATATAATGGTTAAATATAGGTAAATTTTCATAAAAGGGTTCAGCGCTTTAGGTTTGAAAGCATTACATTACATTTAACGTAAGGTGCAATTTCGTTTAGATACCGCATGTTTTAATAGTCGTACATGGTCCAAGTAGAGTTTTAGTCCTGAAAAAATTCCAGCAGAACAATAACTGTATGGGATCAGAGGAAAATACCAATTGGCCGGTTATGGGACTTTAAGAACTAAATTCGTTTCAATAATAATGAGGAACTTTAATTTTCGTATTCGTATCGTATTTTTAACTATGTATCGTGCATTGCTTTTTATCAAAAATAACTTAAGTCAGTTACAATAAAAGTCCGTTCATATTTATAAATTTAATATGATTTGCCATATTTAACAGACGTAAGCTATTGAATGGAACCCGAAATCACAATGTGTATCAGGGTGTCACGAGGAAATTATGCGAAGATTGTAAACCGCTTGGTCCACTCATTGAACGAGGGCGGGCGGCGCGCATGCTCAATAGAATCATACGGAGGGTTGCTACATCTATTTTACCACACTTGCACGCTATTTATAATCGAGATGTTACATCCAGTTCAATTCTATTTTTAAATGAACAATCCTGTTTTCTAGTATAAATCCAATAACAATAGTATTAGTTTAAATTTTGCATTTTTGTCGGTTATTTGAGAATTTTGATAAAATTCGTATTCAGTTTATTGTGTCTACTGGCGTTTGGAATTCCCATGTCTTGCAACCCCGCCCGGTGTCAAGACTGTCATTACATAGTGCGTCACAGCAGTGTCTGGTGTGGTGCGTTGTTGTGATGCGCGGTTCGCGCGGGACGCCGCAGCCTTGGTGACCGTGGTTCCTTGTTTTTGTGACACAGTGGTGTCGTGTATTCCGACGCTCATGCAAGCTCAATCGGCAAGATGCGATGGCGGGCGCGAGCGGCCCCATCACGCGCGAAAGAACGCGCCAACATCAGCTTTTTCATATTTATAATGTTCTTCGCTGTGTTTGGTGTAATAGTCCTTACTGAACTGCTGTTTTTGGAGCGACCCCCGAGTAATGCCCCTCGATCCCGGTACATAGAAAGCTTACAGGTGAGATTATTGAACGCCCGAGCTTTATTTATGCATACTATCAATTATTTACAAAATCCCGCTTGTTGCTAGCCTTTGTTTATATAGCCGCAATGTAATATTGTAGGTGACGAAAGGAGGTTTTCGCCCGACTGGTTTTTATGAACAGATTACATTTATGTAAAACAATTAAACGCCGAGTATAAGTGTAACATTAAACATTGTTGACGATATTAATTTAAGTATTTATGAGTACCCAAGGCTAATGAATAAATGTAGGGAACAAATTTTTATTTTCAAGGATTTCATCTGGTAAGAATGGCAAGAATAAGAAGAATTAGATTTTTCTGTAATTTTTTTTAATGCATTGTTTTGTTCCGCGATGTCCTAACATGACAATGTATAAATTAAAAAAAATTAAATTGTTTTAAAATACGTTCAAAAACATTCGTTTATAACACTAGTCCGCAAACATTACACAATATACAAAAATACAGAAAAGGTTAGGGGTTACCCAAATATATTAACACATATTATGACTATTCAATTTAAGTCAATAATTCAAACTGATTTATAAAAAATAGCTCTATTTCCAAAAACCTTTTTTAATATTCAAAAGCATTCTAAAATAATCGACAAAACTAAAAATTGTTTAAATGCGACGGAAGTACTAGACATTGATAGTGGATAGATACTGAAAAACATTTTACGTGATAAATTCATAATAAAAACGTCCTTTTCATATGAAATTGAGTTTATTTATTTGGTATTTACGCTTTTGCAGAATGGATGTATTTCTATGACGAAAAATGCGTTATTTTTCGATCTTCGAATACCAAACGCAATATTGTATGGTTCAGAAAGATCCCTTTTACAAATATTATTACTAAAATTACGTATACGAGCACTACCAACCGCCTTTTAGCTGAAATACGCTGTTCATCTTCTATAACCATCAGTTCAGAGTTGTTAGAAGACAGATATTCACACTCTTTCACATTCACTTAGAGACTCTTTCGAATAGGCTGAGCTCTGCAGCATATGCAGTAAAGAAAATCCGATAGTCTACTGATAAGGACACGGCTAAAATTGTAGCTACTTTCACAGCGTTATGTCGTACGCTATTCTACTGTCGGGTGCTGCTGCAGAGGTTCAATCCATATTTATGCTGCAAAGCGGGCTTTTCGGGGTATTTGTTGTGTTTCTCCGAGGGAGTCGGTACGGAATAAGTTTAAGGAATTAAATATTATGACACTATCTGGTCAATATATTCTTGAAGCCTTGTTGTATGTACAAAAGAATATAAACGATTTTAAAACAAATGGTGACTTTCTCCAGTATAATACGCGAAATAGAACTAATTTGTGTACGACCAACCAGGCTCCAGAAGATAAACCACTCCTTATATGGAAATTGTATTCGTTTTTACAACAAGCGAAATTAGAGAATTATCAGTAAATAAATTCAAAGCCCTCGTTAAACGTAAATTAATCTATTGATTAGATAAGCTTTTTATAAATTTGACGAATAGAGAATGATCCTAACCCTTGGGATTGATTTGCTCCAGTTCAAACAATTTGTATGACTAAGTATTTTTATATTGATTTAATGACATTTTTTTATATTGATTTAATGACATTTTTTTATATTGATTTAATGACATTTTTTTATATTGATTTAACAGTTTAAATAACACCGTATTATTAAACGGATTTAGATTTGTAAATAATATATGTATAAGCTTTTTATAAACCTGTTTGTTCATTGGACGTTAAAAATAAAACGTAATCCACGTAAAACAACACGATGGAGGGTTTCGTTTGACCACGATTGGTCAATTGAAAGTAGGTGTCACGTGTTATTGGACTAGGCATTTGACTAACTAAATTCACAAGAAATGCGTGTCGTTTTGTCTTTTGTTTTATATTCTTAGCGCCCGGGCTTGCATGTTGATGCATTTTGATGTATGAACAAAAATCTATCTCTGTATCTAACTTATACATTAGTTCTCATTTTAAAATAAATGCTTACGGCGTTCCATATCCAAAATATCTCATAAACTGTCCTAGATATATATTATAGTAAACGTAAAATATCGTAGAGTGAAACAATTGTTAATTTTATGTCAGTATTTAGTGTTTAACCTTCTAGACTTGTGTACTGACCTATGTAGGAGTTTGCCGAGTTAGCACGTCGAAGTTGAACGGGAGTTATAATACATTTGTAGGTTCTTAGTATGTTCGGAACTTGTACTATACATTTAATTTACATAAAAATAAACTGTTGTCATATGGTACTGAACGTTTCAAATATTTGAGAGAGGTCAGACAATAGATAGTAAATTATAAACATATTTTCCTTTTAGGAGGTGTACACGTGTAACGATTCCGAGAAATCCCTCTTTAAAGTCACTTAAAAATACATTAATGATTATGACGCGTTTTTAATGAAGATCGCGCTGTTAAAAGGCATGTTATAGCGAGAGCGAAAAGGTGAAGGTGCCTTCGTGACTCGTGAAGGCCTATTCGGGTAAAATATTACCTCAATGTGAATGTAAGGCAACCCTATCATACAAAGGAAATACTGAAGTAGTGAGAAGCTTAAACCGAATTCGCGATACTAGCAAAATACCTGTTGATCACAACTACGTACCTACTTATACTAACCGTTTTATGGTAATTTTGCATATACGTGTACGAGTATGGGGTAAAAGACAGTTATATTTTACACTCAACCGTTGATGCGATAAACACAGAACATCATTGGTATGTTAGAACTAGCAACTAGCGGTTTCACTCGCTTAGATACCGGTCTCGTGGTAGTGGAAAGACTACTAAAGATATATTTTTGTTAACATAAAAGTTTTATTATACATAGTTTTCTTCGTTTTTAATTACTTCCGTTCAGATTAGCTGCACATTTACATTCATAATTTATCAATATACAGATTTTACTTTACAACGAATATATATCGTATACATTTTTAAATTCGTAACATCATTTAGGTAGAATGACCGGCATTAGTAAATTTAAATATACTCTACAGGTAATGACAAAATTCTTGATTTCAAGTAGGTTTTGAAAGAATTTTTTTTAATCAGTCCAGGAATTTTGGGCTTGATAGAAATTTTTAAAAATAAAAACAAAAATTCAAAATGCTAAACTTTCTTCTATAATATTAGAGAAAAGATTTATTTGTAGAACTTCCCTATACACAACACTTTTTCACACCTTGGGTTATATTATTGCATTTTTAATACGGTTCCCTATTTTTTTTGAAGATGTATTATAGCCTTTGTCAGTCAGTGAAGATGCAGCTTTCTAATGATGAAAGAATTTTTTGAAATCGGTCAAGTAGTTTTTGTGTGAAAACATTCCGAACATACATACAAAAACACAAAAGTTTCCTCTCTAAAATATTAGTATAGATATCAGTTATACGAGTGTAACCAAAGTAGCATTACTATAAATATGACAATTGACGAAAATTATTTCATATCAAGATTATTGCTGTCCAACTATATTGACGTAACAGTGTTGTCAATTTAACAAAGGCAATTTGCGCAATTTACACTTTGGCACTGCAGCGACCGATAATCTCACGATGGTTCTCTTTCCGCACAGACTAGCAATAATTATTAATAGCAGTCATACTCAAATTATCGAGGTTTCATGTGTTAACCACTATTAACTAAAGATTTTCATCCAAACTTAGATACATAAATCACCCGTAGCCTTCAAAGTATTAATAAATAAAAGAGGAATCATTATCGGATGTATGTTACCTATATGATCATAACTATGTATTTACTATTTAGATTCCTTTTTGAAGTTATACTTCTTTAGGCGCGTTATGAAAAATTGATGAGAGTGAAATATTACGATGCGTGCGCACCGTGACACAATTAACAGAATAAAGTTGCCCACGGAAGATGCTACGGCATTGGACATAGTTTAAAAACAACATTCGAATAATAATAGAATTTATGTTACACTTAATGTAAGAGAATAATTATAAATATTTATTTATTTAATTTTTAAATGTAAACCGAACTTTATTGATTATAATGACTCCTTTTCCAGTGTTTGATTATTTAATTGTAATTAATTATTTGCATGAAAGCAAAAACTATTTTTAATAATGCCAAAACAGTATAACTTCTTACGCGCGTACATAAGTACACGCACCCTTTTTACACGCTTTATATTAGCTTCACCTGTATGTATGATACCGACACCTTCGGACTCGATTTGACCCACATTAAACGGACAGATTTAATTCAAACTTTGTACACTTATAAAGAATCAGCGACAATATAATAATTTCATAGGTTTATCTCGAAAAAACAATCAAATTTTATTAAGTCCACAAAGCAATACGATTAAATTGAGACAACACGTATTGCTGCTAGGACTAAAAAGTGGAAAATAAATATAGTTAAAAAAAACTAAAAAACACGCTTTTAAAGCACGTCAAACTAAAAAGTGAAAAATAATTCCTAATTTAGGCTGAAAATGGTAATGAACAAAAAATACTGGTATTATTGTGAAAAAGCGTGGCGCGCTCTGTGCCATATTTTTCGTCTATCGAGCAACCCACGCTTTTTCACAATAATACCAGTATTTTTTGTTTATTTATTTTAAATTATGTATGTCAATGGTAAAGGGACTCTAGTAAGCAATTCCGACAGCAACTTTGTTACAAAAAGATTTAGTGATAAATGAATCTACGAAAATTCCCATTAGGGCGTTCTTGTCTCAACTTTCACGTAAAGTTTTTATAAAATCACTTATAAGTTCTCTTCTTATTACACAAAAATGTTTTTATATTATCTAAAATGATTTTCCTGTTTATATTACGGGAAAAAGTGAGGATTCCGGTTTTGAGGTGCCAAATATATTGTTCACATTCAGCTAACACATAATATAGACTCCTCAAAATTTAACAATATGAGAAAATGGTTCAGGTCCAGAAATTGGGGTCGTTCACCTTTACGGGGTCATTCAAGACTAGGGCTTAA